GCATCAGAATGAGAAACATTTTATCCAATTTCACCATCAGATTCAGGACCTTTTCTTGCAAAGTGAGTACATTTTCCTGGTCGTCACAAGCTATTTTGCTAACAGTTAGGTTTAGGACTGAGGTGTGAGTTTAGTTTACCGTAGTTTAGGTTTATGGTGAGGTATGCACTGGTAATGATTATGTGTGGGGTTATTGTCAGAGGGAGGGTGTAGAGAGGGATGAAAATGACTGAAAATAAATGGAAGCCAATGTGACATGGTCCTCAGTACATGTAGCAAGACCAGAATGTGAGTTTGTCTGTGTAGAGACCAATATCAGGTGTCATGCACAAACCGACATTTTACCAGAGTTTTCAGTCCTAATAAACTTGACTATGCTACTGTTTTTTTTCTCTTTACCCTATATGCTTACCCTGTCACTGCATGCATGGTGTGAGGGATTGCTGAAGGGTCAAAAACAAAATACAAGCGAATATCATTGCTGCACGCCCATCCAGGAAGAGCATGTCCTGCAGGTCAATGACTATGCAACCAGGTGGCTTTCCTTGAGATTATATTGCTTGTGAATTGGTACTTAATAAATAAACTGTGTTGAATTGAAAATTAATTGTTTTAACTTAAGGCTCATGCCCTGACTAAAATTTTTTTCATTCCATTTTTTTATAGGTGGGAAATTAATTCCAATTCTTAATAGGTGGGGGATACTGTAAGGACAAGCAAAACGCTGCAACAGCAACTCTTTTCTCAAACCATCATGCAGGTGATTAAGGGAAAGAGTAGCAAAGACATTGTTTTTGTTTTAACTACCTGCAATATAGTTAATTGATTAAATTGATACTTCAGTGATTTCAATGTATATCATGTAACAGCCATCTTTTTATCTGAAAAAAAGCCTCCCCCAAGTCACCTTTGTTTAAAACCCATATGTCGTTCATTCTGTAACAAAAGCCTGTTAACTTAATCATGAATGACTTTTAAGATTGATACCCAAGGTCTGCTGTAACAATCTTTGACCTTCGTAAATTTCACAAGGTACCCACTGGCAAGATGCATTGCTTATGTGTAGCCTTCTCTTCTATTTCTGCTCCTACAAAATATCTGTGTGTGTGTGTTTTAAGTTACTCTCTATGGAGTCAGTAAATTATCAAGCCCATAAAAGTGCATGTTATGCATGAAAGCACAATGCAATATTCTGTAAGTGCTAATGGCTTTTGAACCTGCAAGGTCACACATTCACCATAGGAGTTCCAAGTTACACTGAACATCAGATCTGTCTTTTTTACAAAAACACACGCCCGCTGACCCACACAGACACAAGCTTGACTAATGTAACATTTTCTACGCCTGTCTCCAGGGTTTAAACCATCTCTCTCTCTGTGTATAGAATTTAATGGCTTATTTTACTATTCACAGCAAACCATTTTTGTAAGCTAAATCTTCCATTTTCCATCCAGATGCGAGAAAGGAGCAGACATTTATCATCTCCTGCTTCTCACAGGAGTCACATAATCAATGACAATCAGCACAGAGCCTATAACACTATTAAATCCCATCGTTTAAGTTTCTAATATCCTATTCACGATATTGCTTTTAAGGGAATATCGGTGGAATAAAGTGTATAAAGCAATCTTCAAATATTGCAGCATTTTGCAGACACGCAGTTTTAAAGAATTTTTTGAGTTCAGGTTTGTTTCACGTTTTTATAATGGGTTATTCACTGTAGAAAATAGTGGAAGGAGTGTCATTTAATAGAATTTTAAATAAGGCAGTTACAAAATTACAGACCTAATCATAGATTCTGAAAAGGTGGCGTTAAATTACAAGGTTTTTTTTTTTTTTATATGCAAAAAGTGGGCATGTTGTGGGGGGATCTACAAAGATTGCTGTGCAAATATTAAGAGTTGCAAACTGATTTGGTTCTGTGCATGAAACTGAACACATTGTTCTACAGGCAGTTTAAAATTAGTCATAAAAGGAAGAGGATGCCTAAAGCCATGCAAATGGAGAAAATTTATAATTGTAAAAAATAAAAAGTAAAAATTATTCAAACTAAAAATGCTCATAGTTAAAAAAACAAAAGAAAATAACTGTTTTGAAAGAATGGATTGCACACATTGTCTGCGGAATTGCAAGTGCAAATCACCTTGCACCTTTTTTGAAGATCTGCTCTGCGCTTAGAAATATGTTTGCTCTGTTTGAGACACAAACATTCTGAAGATCAGATCCTCAATGTTGGAATTGCATAGCATTTTATACTGTATTGATTTTTGTATCATTTGATGGAGTGGTGACCTAATGGACATAGTAGAGTGCTTGCATTCTCAAGAGGCAGCAACTATATGCTCCAAGCTGCCCCCTGCTCCCTAGGGATGGGCTAACTACAGAGGTCAAATTTCATAAAAAATTTACATTTGCAGTGACCAATAGAATTGATTATTATCAATGTAATTATCATCGTCTGTGGGTTTGCAAGAGAGCTAACATTGTTTAGGGTTGATGGAAAGGTTTGGGAACCCCCACTCTGGGCAACAACATCCCTTCATCTAAATAAGGTAGCACATTTTCACTTCAGAAGAGAAAGGTGCATTTTAAAAGCACTGTACTTAAGGAACCCTGTGATATATATATATATTAATTCTTATTTATCTTGATATACTGTATATACCTTGATATACTGTATATATATTGTTTATTCTTAATGCACCTTTTTCCTCCTTGTTTACACCTTCTTTAATTACTATGCCCAATATGTGACCAGTGAATTTCTCCGCTGTGAGATCAATAAAGCTCATCTAATCAATAAAGCTCATCTAATGTATATATATATATATATATATATATATATATATATATATATATATATATATATATATATATATATATATATATATATATATATATATATATATATATATACTACTATAAGTCTGCAGCAGCAAAAACTGTTTCACCAGGGAAATCAAACCAAAAAACTCTCTCATAAGAGAAAAGATAAAGGATAGAGTTTTACCGCACAGACATATGAGGAGAATGAGTCAACAGCAATGGCTTGACCTTCAGTGAGCTAAAGTTAAACAAAGCTGAGAGAAAATGGATAAGCAAAGAAATCTAGAGGAAAAAAAGCTGAATCTATGTTGCTCCATCTTTACGCATAGGCTTTTATGGCAAAAATATGAGGCCAATTAAGCTTCAAACCTTTAAGAGTCACAGACTTAAATAACTTTATATATTTCCATATCTGAACTCCTTCTGGTGTCATACAAAGGATTTCTTATTTTTGTGTGTTCTGTTTTGCCAATATAGCTCTGGGAATAGATGTCCCAGAGCTAGATGATGGCCCAATAGATTTCCTTTACAAGCAGACTAATATGACTGTTGTCATAAGGTTTTGCTAGGTACTTGTATATTAAACTTTTATTTAAAGTTATTTTGGGAGTAAAATCAAATACAACAGGGATGGAAAGGGAGGTGAGAAAGAAAGAGGGTATACAAACCAAGAGATAGAGATAAAGACAGGAAACACCGCATGAAAATAAGAAAAAATAACACAGAATGTGCTGGTGGAGATTCTCAGTCATCCAGGTCATAGTATTCCAAAACATTACAGTTAAAAAAACAAACCACTAGACTTTGTTTTCCTAGACTGAAGATGTTTCGCTTCCCATCCAGAAAGCTTTCTCAATTCAAAATACAGCAAACACACAGAATATATACAGCAACTCCTACATATCTCCTCCCACACCTGTATGATATGAGAGGAACTGAAAACAGAGAACATAACAAAAGCAAAAAGACAATAGACAGCCAAATAAAACATCAAGAAAAAGCTTCAAGAGCAGTGGGTATCCTTTAGATATCCATGTGTGTGGGTGGCAAAACCTATGGGGATTACACAATATGCCAAATGTTTTTCAGAATATAAATCAATAGCAGGTGTGGGTGACCCCAGACTCACCCTACAGGGGCCTACAGGGCCCTGGATCAATAAAGAGCCAATCCTAGCCCCAGATATCTAGAGGCTGCCCAGATCATTCGGACAGAAGAAGGGTAGACATAGGGATGGCCCCTCCACCACTGAAGGGCTGGCAAGAGCACCCAGAGCCAGACCCCTGATGGACCAAACACTAAAGGGGCTCAGAGGCCATAGTGCCTAGGTCGCTGGCAGCCTGTCACCCCCAAGGTGGACCCATGTGAGAGCCTAGGGGTCCAAGGCCTGGGGACGCACCACCCCCTAGTGGGGACCCCACAGGCCCAGCCAGGCAGCCACCGGATGAGACGGTGCCCACCGAAGTACACAACTATATACCTAAGGACCATCAGCATGTCAGCAAAGATTAAATATACAAATATATAAAGGATTTCTGACTAAATTATGGCACTTTTTTGAGTTATTATATAACTTGTTTGACACAATTTCCCTGGGGAAGGTGTTGAAGGAAAGATATAAGATGACAAGTGGAATAAGACACAATGAAAGTTTGTGTAAGTGAAGCTGCTGCCAAAGTCTTGGATCTGTCAAGTGGATGGTGGTGTGATTAAATACTGACAACAATGTTTGTGTGTTGATAGTGCCTGAAAAAAAATATTTTCAAGCTCAAAAGGGACTAAGTAATGATTATCAGGACAAACGGTTGGTGTGTATTGCTTTATTTTAATGCAAGCATATAATTTGTATAGTTATAGGATGATGTGATAGTCCCTTTTAAGAGCTTGCTGAAATGAACTTCATTAAGATGGTGGGGGTAGGGGAATTTTTGGCCCAGGAGAGAACCATGACCCCCAATTCTCTCCCATCCAACAGCCACAGATCAAACACTGGTAGACTGGCAGCATTATCAAACTCTTAACCAATTTACTATGAATATAGTGTGGATATTTACATAATTAATTATAGGCTTCACTGGCTGAGTGTTACCATGGTAACCATGACTGACAAAGCGAAATGACTGAATTAATTTCCTCTTATCTTCTTTTTTTGACTCAATCAAAGCTCTGCCTACCTTGATCAGTAGCCGGATGGTCCCTGAGGCCTTATCGGAAAGATAGTACCAAAAGGACAGCTTGCAGATAGCACTTGATTCTTTCCAAACCGAACTCTTGATGTGAACTCTGTCGCCTTTCAGTCCCACCGGCGTCGCCTCCAAATACACAAAATGGCCTGGAGAGGCAAAGAAGATCAGAGGAGATGAAGGAGAAGAGTAATAAGGCCAAAATTTAAGAATCTATTAAACCCACTGGAAAACTGCTTAAAACTGCTACTGGTCACTCGTTGTTTGTTAAGGAAAATTCATAAAGAGGGAAGGAACATTGTAACATTGCTGAATTGAAATCAAAGAAAGCATCTGGAAAAGTCATCTTTATGTCTGAAAGCACATCTGGCCACTGCTTCGAATAGTACGTTTTAATCTGTTCACTGGATAATTTGCTTAATGCTTTGCAGAAGTGAAAGTGATAATTACCCTGTTTTATTTGATTATGTTAATCTTTAATTTCCAGTCATTTACCATTACACCAAAGACATATTTACAAGAGTTATAGCCAGATATTTAGTTGCAAATGTAAAAACACCCTCGTGCTTTTCTGGGGTTTTCTTCTTCTGGGATACAAAACAATGGTAGAAAAACAGATGTGAGGGGGCTGCAGATTGGACAAAGGATCAATTTTCTTAACCTAAATAGAGGTTCCTAATTAAGTAATCAGATTTAATTCATTTCTCATCAGATTACTTCCAAAAGATTTAAAGAGGATGCAGGCATCTCATATTCAGCATGCAATGTTCAACAAGTTAATGCTAATAATCACACTACTATGCTCCTTGGCATTCAATATTCAATATTCATACTCTTCTGCGTTCAATACTAATTAAATATAATTTAATGGCTTGTAGCTATGAAGTTTCTGATAACAGTATGTGTGTTAGTTTTAAAACCCAAGTTTTATACATTGTTATAAATTAGTCTTTTCCTAATTATTTTTACACTTCTTGACTACTTAGGCATGTTTAATAATTAGGATGGGTTAATTACCAAGCTTTACTTTGGTATTTATTTACATTTTTTTGATTGCAATGCCCCTTTTCAAAGAGATTTTAATGACATTTAGATTAATACTGTGAGTTCCCAATTTTAGGGATATTATCATACTGTGTAACAGCTCATTGATTGAGTCTGTGCCCTGAGTAGAATTTTCTTTTTATCTATTTCTCATTCATGCTGTGAAAAATATCAGACCTTAGTAAATAAACAGCAATCTAGACAATTTATTTAAACAGATTTATTGGCTGTGGACTAAATTTGATCCCATACCGTTTTCATCCTGCAGCGTGTGATCGAATGGTGGCCGTATACTTTGTACACATCCGGTACCAAGTGCCCACTCAAAGTTATCAGCCAGTGAGCTCTTCCAGCCACAGAGGCCGTTCTCAAAAGAGCAGGAGGTGCCACAGTCTTTCTCATCCGTACCATCGCCACAATCATCCTCAAAGTCACACCTCTGCTCTGGTGTGAAACACTGGCCTTTTCCACAAACAGATGCGCCTGGTGGACAGAACCCTGGAAAAAAGAAGATAAATAATCTCAATGATCCCATATGCCCTTATTTGCACATTGATTCGTTTTCTGTGAAGGGCTGTTCAGCTTGTTTAATATTCAACTCAGTGATGTATTCAAGGAATAATATCTTTAAGATGCTTCAATCTTTCTTGGTCAGTGGTCAGAAAAATCTTCTGGCCTTGGTAAGATAATCAAGTTACTACCTGCTCTAAAATTAATTAGAAAGCTTAAAGATAACAGTTATCTTAAGCTGCAGACTCAAGAATAGTGTAACTAAAGGCAGGTAGCAGTGTGAGAATTAAACTTCTTTCATCAACACCACTGAAAACAGAATGTATATCCAATAGTATATCCAAACAGATCAAATATATAGCTTTGAACTAAAAAAGACAGGAAGCACAAACACATGCCTTTAAACGTCTTCAAATCTTTTGACATATAAATCATAGAAGTTTCTATCTCTTTTTTTATATTCAACACATCATGTTTCAAACTTAATTTTCAGTTAATATGTGCATTATTTAATCTGCCAGATTTTACTTTTAAAAGATGGAAAACAGAATGAAGAAATCTGGACACTGAAAAAACACAACTTTTCACAAGATTAACCAGCATCCCAGCAGTGCTGTAAAACCTTCAAGGCACCCTTCTGTGCACAGAGCTGTAGATTCTCTAAGAGGCTTAGAAAGGACACAGGAGCATGGAGCTTTAGGCTCAAATCACTGTATCATTGATGGCGATGCTTGGAAGGGGATGGTGGTGGGGGATCTGCTTTTATTGGAGCCTAGCATTCCAGCAGGGTCAGTGCTCAGCTTTAGGGTGAGGGGAATGTTAGAAAGGAAGAAGGGTGGTCTCTGTAATTAAAGACGAGAAAGGGGTGTAAGTCCTTCCTAATCCTTTGTTTCTCTTGAGGTGCAGAGAACCAGAAGCAATGTGACCCAACAAAAGGGACAGAGGAAGCCAGGAAGAGGGGACTCCTGACTCCCAACTGTCCCCTGCATTTTAGAGAAAAAAACATATATTACAGAGAGAGGATCTTCTAAATCAGTCACTGCCTCTCCACACCGCTCACCCTCTCACTGTTACCCATACGAAAAAATGCATTCAAAACATGTTTTATATGGATTACTTCAGGGTCATGATCCGATCAGCTGCCCTGAGGGACATACTCCCCTCTAGTGGAGGGATTTTAATTGAACTTGGTATTTCAAACAAAAGTAACCAAGTAAGATATACTGTAACAATCAACTTGCTCCTGCTTTGCACATTCTGGCTCATCATTATGCTGCATTGTGTCTGCACTGTCTAAATAAACTGTTTCATCTTGTTTCAGCTTTTGTTCATTCTCTGAGACTAATCCCACACAGTCATGCCCTCCACCTATCCCCATATTTCCTTATTACTTTACTTAAGAGTTATTTCATGAGCTGGTCAGCAGCTACGCAAGATTAAAAGGACAGTTAATTGTACTATATTCTAACATTGGTTGATTAAATAAAAAATTATGAACCTTCCGTATCTGATTTGTGAATTGTTCTGTTTATTTAATATTGACAGGATTAACTTTTTAATGCAACACAATTAAAAACAACCTTGTGTCTGGGAAAATAATATATATCACTTTCATTAGGCAGAGAACACTGCTGCATGTTTAACAAGCTGATAATGATCTTAATAAAGAATGGACATTTGCTATGCTGATTTGTTTGCTTCTAATTTTCAAGGTTTTATTTTATGGCGTTGCATAAATCATATACATGCTCACATACTCCAATGTGAGCATTCATAACTGTATTAAATGGAAAACAAATTAGCATATTATTCATGAAACAAATATGATCATTTTTATGATCCACTATAAAGTGGCTGTATCGTTAAGAGAACAAACAGAAGATGCTTCTGGGGTGCAGTTCGCCTTACTGCTGCATCAGGTGATGGTATATAGACTGAGGCTTGGCAGAAAAAAAGCCCCTGAGGAGCAATGGTCTGCAATTACAGTTCCTGCTGCTTCTTGTCTCATCTGTATTACTGTACATCCTGCCAACACACTGACAGAAAGATCTGGTTTTAGCTACAATTCCTCTCCTCGCTTCCTGCTCAATTACTGAGAGCCAGTGGATGTAAACTCCATTTTAATCTATAAGTGATTTTATTACTCTTTCTGCTGTAAGTTCCTCATCTATCATCCATATGTATTGCCAATATTTGAAAAAAAAAAATCATTTCTATTTGCTTTAGCATAACATCACAAAAAGGGTTTAAGGTTATGTTTGTTATTAATGGTTAGGTTTATGGTTAGAATCAGAGTTCGCTGATAGAATCTAAAGGAAAACTAATTGAAGTAAATGCAACCTTTAGAAATGTAGAGGCACGTGGAGCCACACGTCTTGTGGATTGTTGACATCCACAAGACAGATACAACACCACTGCAGAAGACCTCCTGTTGATTACCCATTAAGGTAGTAAATTGTGGATCTGACACATTTATAAATAGCCGCATTAAAATAAAAAAGATCGATATTGTACTGAAAGCGAGGGCTCCACAGAAACACAAACAAATGTCTAAAAATGACAGAACTAAAGTTTTGGTCTTTGTTGTTTACGAACCCTCCAACAACTGCATCTCCCATGATATTTAACACAACAGTTGAGCCACATCTTTAACAGACCCTTTGTAACCAAAGAGACAGAGGTAATAAATCTGCTCCTGTTATTTTATCATCCCTTTTAAAGGTTCCCTCATAAAATAGGTAGGTGTTTTTGAGAGATGAGCCAGAAAAAGACTGTAGGAAGCATATTTTACACTGCTTAGATGACATTTCCCTACAAAATCTGACAAACTATCTTAACACTTTGCACAAACCACATTGTTACCATAGAATTTCCAAGCAGCTATAATTATCTGACTGCCAAAAGTGCCACAGCAAAGCTGATTAAAATTGTGCCTATCTACAGAGAATTGATACCCTTCCTAAAATCAGGAAAATATTTTAATTGGACTCTTGAGGTATATTTTGTCATGTTAGCAATGATTTTTAAAATGTGCAATTAGATTAAAAGGAAATCTGTCCTTCAGGAAATTAAATGTGCTGCTATTTAATGAAAATCTTAGAAGTACTATAGAGAAGGCAGTAAAACACCCTGGTAGTTAAGAGGCATGAAAAGTAACTGAAGTAAACTTTAGTGCAGCTGGAATCCTTTTTTTTTTTTTTTTTTTTTTTACTGTAATGCATTTAGGGGACGAATTGCGCTGTTGACTTTCAGTCTGACTCTATGTTGTTATGCAGCATCCAAAGGTCACAGCTGTTACCTGGGAACACGACACACACACACACCCAATGCCTCACTGGATTTTATAGAGCTGTATAAAGCTCCCTTTACAGCAGAAGTTTTACTTATCGCTGATCAGAAAGCACACACTGTATTTGGGTTCCATTAGGTGTCCCAACAGTTACTCTTAAGAAAGGATCAATACAGTTTATTACGATTCTGCTATAAAGAACGCATATAACCTCGAAAGCAAAAAATAGATAAACAAATGTTTTAACTTTCATGTTTTGAGCACGAGCCATACTTTCATCTGTCTTCATTGAGACAAGTATGAGGTTGATTACAGAACATCTGGCATCTTAAAAGATATCTCAGAATTTTCCCTTAAATAACTAATCTTTTTACTTTCTACGGTACACATGCTTCACCAACACTGTTTACAGTGCAGGTGGTGAGCTGTTGACCTCGACTGGGGATGTCGTTGGGCAGTGGAAGAAGTACTTCGAGAATCTCCTAAATTCCATCGTTACGGCTTCCAGGAGGTCTATCCAGGAGATACAACCTAGGGACTTAGAGGCGGACTCCCCCATCAACCAGGCTGAAGTCACTGAATTAGTTAGAAAGCTTCTTGGTGGCAGGGCCCAGGGATGGATGACATTCATCCTGAGTACCTTAAGTCTCTGGATGTTGTAGGACTACATCGCTGCAATATCTCGGGGTGGGACAGTACCCCTGGATTGGCCAGTTGGACTCCCTCACATTTGCATGTGAGGGAGTCCCATTCAAAACATCTCATTCTCAGCTTAAAAGTATTCAACCAAACCAATTTACTAAGTTTCAAGTTATTTTGCAGCAATTTCAATGTAAAGGGAGCAGAGTAAGCAAATGCCTTTTTACCCAGCTCAGTACTGACACGTGGGACAGAAATGCGTTTTCGTCCAGGTCACAGCACACTGGACCACCTCTATACCCTTTATCGGATGCTCAAAGGTTCGTGGGAGTTCATCAAACCAGTCCACATGTGTTTTGTGGATCTGGAGAAGGCGTTTAAACATGTCCCTGGTGCTACCGTGGGGGGTGCTCCCGGAGTGTGGGTTGTGGGGCCCTCTGTTAAGAGCTGTCCGTTCTCTGTATGACCGCAGCAGGAACTTGGTTCACATTGCCGGCAGTAATTCAGACCTGGTCCCGGTGCATGTTGGTCTCAGTCAGGGCTGCCCTTTGTCACCGGTCCTGTTCACTACATTTATGGACAGAATTTGTAGGCACAGCCAGGGACCGGAGGTTTTCCATGTCTGGTTTTTGAAACTCAGGATATCATTTCTGCTGTTTACAGATGATGTTGTCCTGTTGGCCCCATCAAACCAGGACGTTTGGCGTGCACTGGGGTGGTATGCAGTTAAATGTGAAGCGGCCGAGATGAGGTTCGGCACCTTCAAATCCGAGGCCATGGTTCTGCGCAAGAGAAAGGTGGACTCCCCTCTTCAGGTCGTTGGGGAGTCCTTGTCTCAAGTGGGGGAGTTCAATTATCTTGGGGTCTTGTTCATGAGTGAAGGACGGATGGAGCAGATCAGTACAGATCAGTACAGCGTTAGCACTAATGCAGTTGTGGGAGCTGAGTAGGGGGGTAAAGTTCTCGATTTACCAATCAATCTATGTTTCCACCCTCACCTATGGTCATGAGATCTAGGTAATGACCCAAAGGACAAGATGGCGAATACAGACAGCCGAAATGAGCTTCGCAGGGTGGCTGGGTGCACCCTTTGAGATAGGGTAAGGAGCTCAGTTTGAAGCACTTTTAGAAAAGGCATAGTAGAATGAACAAACCGGGATTCACATGTAAAATAATATAATATGGTGTACTTTTTCTAGATGTTTATTAGTTTGCATCATTTTTCTTAAATAAACACATTCTCAGACAATAAATCTAAATTATTTTAAATATTAAACAAAATATAAAGCTGACTAATAGCTTCTCCATTAAATTGGTACATTATTTTTTAGATCTGTGACATTAATTGGACCATGCAAAACACAGATTTACCTTCACAAAGCCTCAGAAGGGCAAGATTTATGTACAAAAAGTAAACCTGTGCATAAAATTATGTTTGTATTTATATAATGTTTTTATAATGTTTTTTGATTTTGGCATTCATATGAATATACTGGTGTGATAACGTAGTATATGTCTGATTGGTTTTTGGTAGCCCCCCCCCCCCCCCCCCCCCCCCCCCGGCGAAATCCCCACCAGCCGCCATTACGTTATAGTTATGCACTTTGTGCTAATCTATCCCATTAATCCACTACAATTCTATGAATCTTTAGATTGTATTATGATAAAATGTTTAAAACAATGTTATCAATCTGAGTACTTCTGCAACAAGCTGCATGTTGTCATGCTTTAAATCAGCTCCTGCATTCTGGACAGTTTGTGTATAGAAATTACTGATTTAGGCTCACACACACTCCCTAAGGGGTCTAGTGGAGACAGCTCTACCCTGGCAATGACATATCTGAAATGGGAAAAGATAATCTGCTTATCCAACGTAAAAGAACTGTCAGGAATCATAGTTGACAGAAACTGTGAGGAGACAAAGGGTTAAAATCCTTGAACTGACCAGTGGATTAAATATTTCAATATAAATCACTGCCATCTCATTTCTGTAACATTATCAGTAGTTAAAAAAGAGAAAAGGCTGCATGTTAATTCATACCCATTCTGAAGTAAACTGTACCTGTTGGAGGAACAGACGGAGGAGGAGTGCTGTGTGTTATGGAGGCTGAAGGGGAGAGGAGGCATCCTAGAGAGAAGGAGATGTCGTCCAGGCAGATGTCCCCCTTTTCACTGCGCCCAACCTTGCCTTCAAACACGACCTGAAAGTCTGTGGAGGACCTCAGCTGGAGCTCTTTCATTTTCCAGTAGTTACCCTGATCTCCTGTCAGGTTCAGCAGGAGGTGAAAAACTCCCTCAGTTTTAGTAAAAACACTGAGCGTCCCAACACCATCTCCAGACATGTGATAGTAGAAACGCATCTGCCAAGAAACACAGTATTTTCAGGATCATATTAATTTCTAGCATATTTAAGTAACTTAAATGAATATCATTTTCTTAGATATATGCTTCTACTATACCCTTTCCTTAGAGTTATTTAAAAAATATTGATATCTTTCATTTTTTTACTTATTTGAATTATTCTTAAATAAAAACAACAACAAAAAAGTGGAATGGAGATTTTAACAGAAACAAACAACATAAATCTTGGATTCGTTTTCCTTTTTTATTGAAAACATTAAATATAAAACCCTGAAAGAAACATCAAAATCCATTTTGTCACGATTCATTTCTTTTATATAAATTAAGTTTTATTTTATTTTATTTGATATTTCTAAAGGTGTGCTCTGCTTTTTTATTTTGCTACTTGTGGTTTTAATTTCTCTGGGCTCAGTGTCTCAACAACATTTAGTTTTAGTTTTATAACAATAAAGATTCTTGATTCTAAATTCATGAAACCACATTATCCCAGTTTGTTGTTTTGATATCAATTCAGAAAAATAAACAAAAAGGCAAAAAGTATTTTGAATTTTTTTCCCCTTTTTAGTCTTTTCTACTTATTTCCAGTTTCCTAATAGCATAATATCATCATCTTATTTCATCATCCTCAGTAATTGATTTTGTCTCATAATCTCATAATCGATTTTATGTGTGTTAATGTCTTGACCCTTGTCTAACCTGTGCAAAGTTTTATACTCATTCATATGCAAACTATTCTACACAGTTTATTTGAATGGTTAAATGAAACTAATCTGCTTAAACAAATCTAAATATTTAAACTAACTATTAATATGATTAAGTCATTTCCAGCAAACCAAATAAAGTAATTGCTTAGTTTTAATCTCCTTGGCCAATCTTTGATTTTTTTTTCTTGCTTGCTTTTTGTTAACAAAAGAAAAAACCCTCTAGAAACAGATTTTTTTTATTAGTGACAGCTGGTCTTTTGCATTTTTCCTTCAGGGAAGAAGATGTCTTCCCGGCCCTCCCCTTCATTTCCTTCCTGCCTTCTCACTGACTCTATGATGGATTGACAATTCAAGATGATGATAAGACCTGCTTGAAACAGAGTAGGAGGGGCAGTCTATCAAGAAGTCAGTCCAAATGAAGGCTGACAGTAGCTAGCACACAGCTTCAAACAAGTGCATCAGCACATTTTCAATCCAACCTGGAGAGACTCACACAGAGAAAAGATGCAATTAGAAAGGTTGAATTGGCATGAAGGAAATAAGTTATTTGGCACTTGGGCTCCGGCAGAAGAGTTTGATGCTGTAATAACCATTCACATGGGTGAGTAACTTAGGAAAAGGATTAGAGCCCTTTCGGGTCTGGTCACTGGTGGTGGAATAAGCCAGAGGATAATTGGGACTGAGAACAGCCTGAAAGTGAGGGAGGAGATTGGGTGGAGGTGGGTGAAACTTTGCTGGCATGGAACAGGGAAGCTTGAACAGAAGATAAATGAAGGTGATCATGAAAGATGATTGGCTTCTGAGGAGGTGCAGTCGTGATGTGGATTGGGTGGAGATTGATGTTGGACATCAGTAGGTGGTTCAGGTGAGGCTGATAATCAATCAATCAATCAATCCATCCATCCATCCATCCAGATTATACAGATACAGATTATATACAGATTGTATTCAGATTGTGTATGTGTGTGAGGGGAACAGTCCATGTTATCTGTTTGAGAATGCGTTATTATTGTATGGGGGGATACAGTCCTTATAGTTGTGTCAGGAGGTGTTCAGGAGCGTGACAGCTGTGGGAAAGAAGCTGTTCCGGTGCCTGGTGGGTCTGGTCCGTAGGGTTCTGTAACGCCTTCCAGAGGGCAGAATGGAGAAGAGTGTGTGTGCAGGGTAAGTGAAGTCCTTGGTGATTTTCCCAGCCCTTTTCAGACATCGCTTCCTATAGATGTCCTTGATGGTAGGGAGTGGTGTCCCAGCGATGTGCTGGGCAGTTTTCACCACCCTCTGCAACAGAGCAGTTCCCGTACCAAACTGTAATACAGTTAGTGAGGATGCTCTCAATGGTGCAGCTGTAGAAGTTCGTGAGGATCTCTGAGGACAGGTGGTTCTTCCTTAGGGTCCTCATGAAGAAGAGGCGCTGGTGCGCCTTCTTGATGAGTTTAGAGCAGCTGGTCGTCCAGGTCAGGTCCTTCGGAGATGTGGACTCCCAGGAACTTAAAGCTTTCCACATGCTCCACCGGTATCCCCTTGATGTGGATGGGTGGGTGTAGTTCAGCGCTCCTCCTGAAGTCTACAGTGAGCTCCTTGGCCTTCTCTGTGTTCAGCTGCAGGTTGTTCTTGTCGCACCACTCACCCAGACGGTCCACCTCCTCCCTGTAGACGGCCTCATCGTTGTCTCTGATGAGGCCGATCAAACTTGATGATGGCTGTAGAGCCATGGACAGGTATGCAGTCATGGGTGAGGAGATGTATTTCCCAATGTACACATACTTCCTCTAGCTGCTCTGGGGGGACCCAAGATGACACCAGGCCAGCTCAGAGACATACTCCCTTCAGTGTGTCCTGGGCCTCCCAATAGGACATGCCTGGAACACCTACCGAGGGCTCCTCCTGGGTAACCGAGTTCCTCACCCGATCTCGAAGGGTGCGCCCAGCCACGAAGGAAACTAATTTCGGCCGCTTGTATTCGTGATCTTGTCCTTTCAGTCCTTACCAAGATCTCATGACCATAGGTGAGGCTGGTAACCTAGATTGATCTGTAAAACAAGAGCTTTACCCCACGACTCAGTTCCTTCTTCCCAATGACAGTCCCATACTGCGACCCCATCACTGCCAAGGCTGCACCCATCTGTCTGTCAATCTCACGCTCCATCCGTCCCTCAATCGTAAATAAGACCCGAGATACTTGAACTCCTCCACTTCAGACAAGGACTCTCCAACGACCTGAAGAGGGGAGTCCACAAAACACACGTGAACTGGTTGGGTGAACTCCCACGAACCGTCGAGCACCCGATGTAGGGTATAGAGGTGGTCCAGTGTGCCGCGACCTGGACCAAAACCGCAGTGTTCCTCCTGGATCTGAGGTTCGACTACTGGTCGGATCCTTCTCTCCACCGGCCCGGAATAAACCTTACCGGGGAGGCTGAGGAGTGTGATCTCTCTGTAATCGGAGTAGACCCTACGGTCCCTCTTTTTAAAGAGAGGGACCCCCACCCCGGTCTGCCAATCAAGGGGTACTGTCCCCGACCGCCACGCGATACTGCAGAGATGTGTCAGCCAAGACAGTCCTACAACAGCCACAGGTACTCAGGATGAATCTCATCCACCCCCGGGGCACTGCCACCGAGGAGCTTTCTAACTACCTTGGTGACTTCAGCCTGGCTGACGGACGAGTCAGCCTCTAAGTCCCCAGCCTCTGCCTCTTTGGAAGGTGTGGCGATGGGATTGAGAAGATCCTTGAAGTACTCCTTCCACCGCCCAACAACATCCTTAGTTGGGGTCAGCCGCTCCCCAGCCGCACTGTAAACAGTGCTGGTGAAGCACTGCTTCCCCCTCCTAAGGCGGCAGACAGTTTGCCAGAACATTCTTGGGGTCGACTGATAGTCCTCCTCCATGGCCTCTCCGAGCTCCTACCAGACCTGAGTTTTTGCCTCTGCGACCGCACGAGCCGCAGCATGCTTGGCCTGCCGGCAGCTTGATGGCATCCTTTACTGCCGGGTGCCAGCACCAGGTTCCGGGATTGCGGCTACGACAGGCACCAGAGACCTTATGGCCACAGCTACGAACGGCCGCATTGACGATGGAGGAGGAGAACATGAAGCACTTCAACTCCATGTCTCCAACCTCCCCTTGGATCTGGGAGAAACACGTCAGGAGAGGGGAGTTGAAGACCGCACTAACAGAGGGACCCATCATATGTTCCCAACAGACCCTCACAACACGCTTAGGCCTGCCAGGTCTGACCAGCTTCCTCACCTGCCAGCGGATCCAGCTCACCACCAGGTGTTGATCGGTTGACAGCTCAGCCCCCCTCTGAGGCTGATAAGAGTCTTCCATATTGAATTTTTTCATAAGCTTCATTTTTAAAGAATTTTCTTTTCTTGTTAAAAATTAACCCCAGAAATTTCAGGCATGGTTACAAGTACTTCAACAGATTTACGTATCATTTAACATTTCACTCAATAAAACTTTTTTTTTAGTTAATTTAAAAATTTTCTGCCTCCGTGTTAAATATTTAAACACCTTTGATTGAAGTAGAGTGAGAGACAACACTTAGGAAGATGCTATTATTGGATTTAAGTGATATAGCTGATAACATCTTGTTAATTCATAGACTCATGATGACAGACATAACTGAAACTGGCAAATCAGCCAACTATATTTTTCATTACAGCCGTCCTGTAGAATGGCTGCAATGATCTCAAAACGTTTGTTTAATTCTGCTATGGGGAACAGTCAGTGGGACAGAGTGAATACATGTTCAAAGATACGCTAATGACATCCGGTTTGTGTCATAATGACCCTCTGTCCCCCCACCCCCACCCCATACCCTTCTCCCAAAGAGCTGAGGATCTTCTCCACTGCATGTTTGGGAACTTTGTTAGCCCTCTATAAATGCCCATAAATTGGCTACCAAAAAAAAAGGCTGTAAAAATACTACCAGGGTTTGATGCTTACATAAGTTAGCTCCAAATAAAACCAACTCAAAACCAGTTTAAACAATTTAAGCATACATGAGAATAAGTTATAATAGCCCACACCTAACTACAGCTGTAACGGAGATGCAATGTAGTCTCCATGGCGACTGAGGCCGACATTATGAACTCCATTGTGGAATCAGAAACTAATGAACACATGAAGGAAGATGAAAAAAAATGAGATATGGTGAAGAGGCAGGGTTGCACTCATTTTTAGTGTTTAAGTGTACCTTAAATAAACCCATAGATGGAAGCTCAAAAGGACACAAGTACTGTTTTGAATATTGGTAACCAGAACCAGGAGGAAAAAACATGAGGTCACTAACAAATATTGCAATTTGGTTCCATTCTACTTTACATTTTTAATTCAGATTAAAAGTGTGAATGTTACTTTGTGTATAAATTTAATGTCAAATTTTCATACCTATATAAAGTTTCTTATTATGACTGAACTATTTTACTCTATTCCCAGATATGTATTTGTATCACTTATACCTTTATTCATTCAGATCTATTAAGTTTCATTTAAAAATTCGCACTTTATGTGATCAGATTATGTCTTATAAAAATGTATTTAATGATCTGTGATGTAACCGGGGACTCACCTTGCACTGTGAACTCCTTCTGCTCAGTAAGGGTCCAATTAACCGGGCCGTGTCACCCACTGCCTGAGGGAATGAGCTCTCCAGGTAGAGGTAGTGTCCAGATGGATCTCTCAGAGTGTGGTCACTGGATGGTCCCGTCCCAATAGTCGGGGTGCTGCCTGCTTTGATCCGCCAATCAAAGTCATCCTCTTGGCACTGTTGCCAAGAACAGAGGTCAAATTCAAAATTGCAGCGTCCGCTGAAGCCCTCTGAAAGACAGCAATAAAAGAAAGGAACATCAATCAAGCCTTTCTAATGATCTAGGAATTAATCCTTCCTCAGAGATAATGAGGCTGAGGTCTCACTGCAGATGAAAAGGTCCTCATCTGAATTGTCCCCGCAGTGGTTAATGAAGTCACACAAATTGTCCTTAGGGATGCAGTGGCCATTAGAGCAAGCAAACTGCTCTGGTGTGCACGGCTGGTCTGATGGAAGAAGAGGAGAGCAATTCGGGAAGCTGACATCATCTATCACTACATCCCCCATGTAGCTGATCCCTCGTTTTGTCCTGAACACAACCTGATGAAGAATAATAGATCAAGGCTGTCATTCATGTACAGTATGTTCTTAAACAGCTTTTAAATCAATGTATGTCTAGATCCACTAATAAATTAGCTTATTTTTGCCAAAATGCATTCTGTTTTCTAGGTTCATCTATTATTGAGCATTACCATCTTACCTCCTTTGTGGTTTCTGATCATTTAAAAAAAAATTTAATTTTTTACTTCATCAGATTTACATACAGATTTATGCATGGAATGATTTGTCTTGGAAGATGGCGTTATGATATCATAAATCATGTTATACTTAAGTTCAAATGGATTCTGTGAAAGTAACAAAAGGAGGAGACGCACCACTTGTTTGATATTAACAGATATCGTGTATAAAAGCTAATACTAATATGTCCCTCTTGAAACAGATATCACAGGTAATTTATAGTTTGTATCAGAAACCTTACAATACATCTTGGTGTATGTCAAAGTTAATCTACTACTAAAAGTAGATTTAATTCAAAGAAGATATTCAAGTAATGGAGTAAATCTAACTAAATAGTACCCAGTTATGTCAAAAACACACTAAAGATTAAGTCATCCATTGCAATTTTATATATTGTATACACATAAACTTAAGAAAAAAATAGTTGTAAGTTAAAGGGCCTCAATTGAAATCTTTATTTCATATTATAGTATTAGATACAAAGATCAATAGAAAAGGGCTAACAGAGACCTATTGGAACTTATTGCTATCTTTAGTTGTTATTTCCTCATTTCCATAAAAGACATCAATCAATGACCCACTTCTATGATGAACCACATGATAATCAATCTAGAAAATCTCAACTGGCAGAAATGTTGGGTTTTTACATCTATACCGATCCTCAGTTAACATTTTTCTCCATATTTTAGACTAGTGTAAACAGCATGACTTGTAATTTTGCATATTTCATACAACACATCCCAAGATTTAGGGATAAAACATATCCAACAGACCTGAAAATCATTTAATAACCCCAAAAACACTTCAGCCGGTCTCCATCTGTTGCCTTGGTTACCAGTTTGAGACCAAACCACATGGCTCGTGTTTTTGTGCCTGAGCAGCACCTGTAGATGAGATAAAAGAAAAGCAGACCTTTAAGTTCGGATGGGATCTTGCTTTTAAACTAAGAGTTTGTTCAAAGTGTCTCTGGGGTTGTCTTACTTGCAGGGTTCCAACAGTGAATCCACTCATGTGATACCAGAACATCAGAGTACACTGGGGTCCAGTGGAGGAGATGACTGGTGTTTGGAGATCAGAGATCTGACCATAGGCACCGTTTGAGCTGTCTGCATACATATACCAACCCTTAGGGATGTTACTATTAAAGGAACAACAAAAAATAGTGATATTTATAATCAGGATCAAATATTAGATACATTGTTTCATGATCTCAGCACTGATGTGTCTTGAGATGATATGTGTTATGAATTGAATTGAATTATATAAATTAACTGAATTGGAATTGAATTGATGTCTGGTCTGATTACTCTTTTCACACACCTGCTTAGCTCCGCCCAGTTCTCATTATGCGTTCATCTATTCCAGCTGCATTAGTCACTTTATAACAAGCCTTCATACAAGTCATCAGTGCCAGATAAATTTGAGCCTTTGGTAAGACTTATTCCAGCGTTCTTGTGTTCTGACTACCTGATCCTGACCTTTTCTGCCTCTTGAACTCTGAAGCTGCCTGTTCCCATCCGATCCATTAATCTGACCTATCTTCTGACTTCTGTCTGATCTGATTACCTGCCTGATCTCTGCCTGCTTGTTTACCGACCGGAACCTTTTCCCGACCACTGAGCCTGGCTACCCTCGTTCAGTCTGTTGTCTGTACTATGAACTTTACCTGGAATGTGATCCGACTCTGTCCTGGATTGTCCTTCGGCATCTCACTGGATCTCTGACCTCCTGGCTCTGACAATTGACCACGTCAGCAACATCATCCTGCCTACATTCGTCTACTTGGTTCTGACCTCTTGCCAGCCCTCCAGGCACCAATACGACAGCCCTGGGACTCTCTGTGCAGCAACCGTCGTGCCGCACTGGTAGCCAGCTGGCTGAAACCTTCCTCTACCTCTGGACTTGGACTAAACTACAAGACCAGAGTTTCCTGCAGTAGATGCCGACGCGGCTTACACAGATTCTGTTATCAATAAACATTCTGAAAAATCTGTTTGTCCGCCTTGAATATTGGATCCATCAGTTCTGAGTCTGACAACATTCAGAGTTTTCCTATGATTTTTCTTATCATTAGTTGCTTCTCTATATGCATATTTCTAATTTTTGCAAATTTTCTTTTCTTCATCATGATCTGTTTTGGATGTGATGCAAAGTTTTTGTCAGAAAAAGCTTTTAAAAGGTAGGTCAAAGACTACATACTAAAAGGTTGTGAACAAATTATACATAGACTGTTTTATCTACCCACATGATAAAACACTAATAAGAGCAATAGCGTCACACCTACATTTTCTCCATTTGCTTTTAGAGAAGCAAATAAATACATAAATAGATAACAGCAAGTGAATTTTTAACATGATGCATTTATTACTTTTGTCAAATGTGCCACGCTTATGTTTTATAACTCTGTATATTCTAATGAGCACAGTCAGGATATACATTTCAGATCACTTTGACATAGTGTGAGGCTCTTTTGATTATTAAACAAGATTTAATTAAGGGCTGCTTTAAATCTTAAAGGTTTTTTAAAAGATAAAAAATATTAAAGAAAACAAAAGTGATTTCTTGAATCTACAGGTTATATAATAACTGGATTTAGGTGTCGCAAATCATAATTAATGGTTTAACAAAGAGGGAACAAATTAGATCACCATTTGAAAAAGGCTTTTTGTATTTATTCAGCTTATGTTTGTCTGAAATTATAATTATTTTTGATAATCTGTTACTCTAAAACATGTAAAAAATATAAAAAAAACTTAGAAAAAAAAGGGGATGAAACCTGTTGGGGAACAAGTGGACAATCTGAATTTGAGGAAGGCTGTAATGGCGTCCCTCTACAGACACTTAAACTCTTCAAAATAAAAGCCTTTTCCTTTCTATTTACTCAGTAGTAATATACTTTAATATGTGTTTGGGGTATAGTGGGTGACTCAGTGGGAAGAGTACTCACCCTGCAATGCAAAAGTCTTAGGTTTTATTCCATCTTTTTCACTCGATGTGTCGCTGTTTGAGCAGGGCACTTAAACCCTAGTGGTCTACTGAGGTATATAGGTCTATAAATGGGTATGCATTTAGGGATGCAGTATATGGCTGTACTGTAAAGCATTTATATTAGATCAGTACGATTAGAATAGCATTGTGTTAACCTAACCTATTAACCATACGAACCTGTTCCCCAAGGTGTTATTGACATAGGGGTAAACAATACATTAGTTCATAATAGTCTATTTATGGGTTTAATTGAATGCATTGGTATAAAGAAGACAGTTCTGATGGGATGGATATCTCTGCTACATCATTATAATACAGAAATATTCTCCATTATGCCCCAGTTTTTGTAGAAGTAAATTTTTGATGATTTTTTTAATTAGGTGGTGGTTTAACATCCTCAATTGTGTTAAAGATATATGATATTATAATATTATCATACAGATATACAAATATAGAAAAAAGTTTAAAATGTAAAATGTAACTGTAAATGTAACTCCATAACAAACCATTACAAAAGCAGTGGCAAAACTTGCTTGACAGATTTTTTTGCTTAGTGTGATTATTACAACTAATATTTGAGCTAAAGGCGTAATGTATAGACACTTCTCTGGCACTCACAGAGTGTGGTCATTTGTTGGACGGTGGTTCTGCTCTCCATCATGAATGCTTTCCCCCTGGTCAGCCGCCCAGCGAAATGCATGGCTTACACTGAAAGAATTGCTGACGACCTTCCAGCCGCAAGTATCCCCCCCTTCAAAATCACACTTTTCCTTTACTGAAACACAGAAACACATGCAACTAGAAAATGGCCAAAACTCCTCCTAAAATAGGGTAAAATGAAATTATTCTTTAGACATTTTACCACAGTTTGTTTCATCTAATCCATCAGAGCAGTCATTTTTGAAGTCGCACACTTGGTTGAGAAGAATACACTCTCCGTACGTTCCACATACAAACTGCCCCGCAGGGCAGCTGTGGGGTATAAACGTGGGGGTTGGAGTGGTCAGTGTAGGGGTGATGACTGAGGGCAGCTCTCCTGTGGTATAATACATTGAGAATAATATTATAGCAGTGAATAACAAAGACTGAAGAGCTGCTGCTATTAGGAGCTTATCTGATGTGTTAGAGGTTTACCATCAAACAGGTGACAGTCCAGAAAGGAAAGATCATCAATTGCAATGTCTCCTTCAAAATCATCTCCAACTGTGCCTTCAATTAATATCTAAAAAACAGGAATATTTACCAAACTATGTGCTACAGAAATTTATATGAATATGTAGCAAAAAAACATGTACCTTACATGTTATCTAGTACAATAAATATCATATGAAAAAGTCCTCCCTTGACAATTTTTGTAAAGTTCTTGCTATTTTATTACAGCTGATGTACAATTATTTAATCAGAAGGAAGGAAGGAAGGAAGGAAGGAAGGAAGGAAGGAAGGAAGGAAGGAAGGAAGGAAGGAAGGAAGGAAGGAAGGAAGGAAGGAAGGAAGGAAGGAAGGAAGGAAGGAAGGAAGGAAGGAAGGAAGGAAGGAAGGAAGGAAGGAAGGATATTTCTCATGTTCAGCTTCTATTTTTGTCCTTAAATGTCTTTGTTTTTTCACCGTGTGTTCAGGCAGAATTAAATTAAATTAATCAGTGTCAATATTTCAAACATTTCTGTCTGCACTTAATAGATTAACAAACTGAGCTCCTGTTTCATTGGCACAGCAGAGGAAAAGTCTTTAGCTGCCTGTCTACTTAAAATCACTCACGACTGATGATAACAGAGGGTCCATCTCCAGTGATCGATGTTATACACTAAAGCAATTAAATGGATCTTCATCATGCAGTGTGGGAATGCATCCCTAAATTAGTATTATTTTGTTCACTAGGTATCCGTTGTTAGCTGCCAGAGAGATATGTTTTTGCTGATCTCAAGCTATCTGGGATTAAACAAAGTCCCTGAATAAAATTGATCCATAGTCAGATGTAATAAAAAAAGGTTTCAACTAAAGCTAGACAGTGAAGTAAATATCTGAGCACATTTAAAATCAAGTAGTTCTAGGTGTGTTTACAGCATGCTCATAATTTTTTATTTTTGTCTATGAAATGTGTAAAGTTACATTATGCCATCTTTTTCATTTGTGAGATTTTCTTTTGCTGTACTTTTAGAACTGTATTACATATTGTTTGGGGCATATGTTTGCAAACTATGTATTTTGTTAAAAGTCACCTTCAAGGGGACCACAAAATCTTACATTTTGTTCGTTAGATGCAATGTATCTAACGTCAAGATTTAGCACAAGTAAACCAGACTAAAAACAGATGTAAAGTCAATATTAGGATGGCTCACCAGTGAAAACCAGTATGATTTAGTAAAAAAAAAATGTTTCAATCATTTCAATCTTGCCTTTAATATTACATTTGACTTGTAACTTGTAGTTACTTGAAAACACTATCAAAAAGATGAATAAGGGTAAGTGGCCTTACTAATTTGTTAAAATGCTGTTTGAGTCTATTTTAGCATCCAGCCATTCCAAATACACACCTACAATTAATTTCAGTGATTCTCAGGGTCAGCTATATCAAGTTCATATTGGCATCTTTTAGATGAAGCAATATCCATTTTGCCAAGGTTTAAATAAACCATATCTTTTCATCTTAGCAGGGCTGCTACGGTAATATTTATGTTAGTTACTTATGGAATGCATACAGACAAGCCCTGTATCTGCTGTCACTAAACAATTCAAGGTTTTTAGCAAAATCGATAAGCAACCATCAGTTTGTTATGTTCTTATTATGCATCCGGAGATTCTGTCTCCTTATTTAGATGTATTAAAATGTTGTATATATTGTACATAAAAGCAATAGGCTACTTTTTCAGGGTGCAGTTGGCAGATAATAGATTTTTTTTCCCCTAATGTGGCCATGGATAGCTGACCATATGGCCCTTATCAAAACCTGCAATTGACGTTTTGTAGGACTGCATCAGGTGCAGTAAATTACCTTATTTTAGTATCTAATAGTTCCCAGTGAGCTTCCTATGACATACAAGAAAGAAAAAAAATCACACATAAATGGAAATGTCCAAGTTATGCAGGACAAGGCAGAGATGTTTTAAAAGGTTTAGTTTTTTTTTTACTATTCTCTAAAATGGGAGCTAAATTATACTGAAAATGGGTTAGTGAAAGCTTTGTGTCACATCAGACCTTGAAAATGAATGACTATACACCTGTATGGATGCATGTAGGACACACATTAAATTGAGTGTGCATTTACATCTGATGTTAATGGAGTGCAGGATTTGGTTATCTGTACAAGTTCTGCTGTGTCGTGAGAATTCACAGCAGTAATAATGAAAATATTATTTCATTAAGGCAGGTAGACCAACACAGTGAGAGGGGGACTTATCGTTGGTAAACAGTATGAAGACACATGGCGGCTATAAAAGTACATTTAAGGACTATAGAAAATGACTGAAATATGGAGAATATATTGAATGTGTTGGATCTGGTAAGTATAAAAATGACCTTTTATGCAGTTTTTGCTGTAGAATCACTATAGTTAATACATTTACAATCAAAGGATGGGGAAGGGGCATCCATTACTGTAGGTGACTCTTCCTACAATGCAGCAAGGAGTTAAGATGAAGTGATTTGAAAACCTGTTTACAGGGCTCAAAGTAGTAGAACATTTTTAAAAATGTGTAAAACAAAACATGAATGAGAGTTTATAAGACATTGGTATCCATAAAAGGAATAATGTTGACAGTTGCCTATTTATTCTTTAAGGTGGACAGTGTCAAATGTGCCTGGCTGTGTGTTTTCTGGACAGTGCCGCCTGTGGAGCTGGTTGACAGTTGCCTTTTGTATCTCTACTTCTTTCCATATGCCTGCTTCTGTCTCCTTTAAGCCCAGTCAGCCACGACATGATGGCACTGAGACTGGTTCTGCTGGAGGTTTCTTCCTGTTAAGAGGGAGTTTTTCTTCTCCACTGTCGCTACAGTAATGCTTGGTGTGAGGGATTGCCTTTGAGTCAATGAGTCGATGCAATCAGCTGGTTTTCTTTAAATAGAAAACTTTCAATCAGTTTGACTATATGATCTGATTGAATTGTCTCTGTAAAGTGTCTTGAGATGACATGTGTTGTAAATTGGCACTATATAATAAACTGAAAGGAATTGAATTATCTTGCCTAAATGAATTTGACTCATGAACAATAATGAAAAATTAGAGAGGGTGGAATTTTATAAGTGTTCACCTGTACCCACTCCTTTTTTGGACTTGTAATTTAATTGATTTGTTTTGATGCATTTTTTTTTTTTTTACTGATCCCTGTTTGACAGGATATAGCTTTATTATTTATTCTTTCTGAATGTCATAAAACATAAATTTCATTCATTCATTCAAAGTCTGAAATATTACTGAGATCACTTACCTGGAAAGGTTGAGCACTGTGCAGGTAGAGAGTCCTCCTGTGCCATACATTTCCTTGGTTTCCATATTTTACCCAGAGCAGCAGGCCACGGCCTGTGGCAGTGGTCCTCAGGTACACTGCCAGGCTGAACACATGTGACCCAAACATGCAGTAATGGAAGCGAAAGGCACATCGATGGAGGCTGGACGAATCCGTATCCTCTCCTGGCTGGAAGGTAGGTTCAAAGACTGGGCTCAGAAGCACAGCTTTGTCGTTAAACTCCCGGGGGGTGGAAGACTCAATGTAGAGGTAGTGGCCTGACACATTCCCGAGAGTGTGGTCCTTCCAGGGGCCTGTGTTCAAGGTCGGAGTTGGACCTTGCATGCGGGTCCAGTCAAACACGTCCTCTCCGCTTGTTTCCTGCTTCCAGTTGCATAGTCCCTCTTCAAAGTCACACTGAATTTCTGGAGCTGATTCAAACAAAAAAATGCTTTAATGTTCCTCAATTAGGAAACAGAAAGCATTAGATTTTGTAAACTTTGCCTAAAACATAGGAGCAATTCCTCAAAAGATTTTGAGGAATTGCTTAAAAGGCCTTGAAAAGTTGAAAAAAAAACATTCCGAATAAAACACAGTTCCGGTACAATTTTAACATATAAAGCAATTTTCAGTAACAGTCAAGAATGAGTTCAACAAATAGGGGGGGGGGGGGGACTATTTTCAAACATTGTTATCATTATCAAAAGAAAAGCCGTTCAAACCAACCTGACATTGGCCATACCATTAAGGAGTGGTACGTTGTCTTTTACACCATTCGTCTTGGTAGAACCATTCAATGCTGAATTATTTTTGTTTTAGACATGAAAACCCTTTATAAGATCAAGCCACAACATCCTAATGTGATTTAGGTCAGGAACTGGACACTTCAAAACTCTTTCATTTTATTTGTTTGTATGTTTTTTTTAGATCACACTTTTTGCTGCATAACCCAAGTGTTATGATCTTGGTGCTGATGACTGGCTTAATTACTCATTTCATTCACCTGCCCAGCTCCCCCTAATTTCTTATTACCTTTCATCTGATCAACCTGTTCTAGCCTCTATTTAACCTGCCTGCTTCGAGTCATCAGTGTCAGATTATTAGAGCCCTTGGAGAGAGTTCTATAGGGTATCAAAATGTTTTCTGATTGCCTGATCCTGACACATTCTGCCTCTGGACCCGCCTGTCTGATCTGTTTGCCTGACCTGTTTTGGACTCCTGGTACAGTTGATACTGCCTGTTTGCTGAGCTTGGAGCTGCTTCCTGCCACCTGTATTTCCCTCTTGAACCTCTGCAGACTTCTGATCTCCTGGGTCTTACTCCTGAGCACATCCTCGACCCCGGCTTTGGCTTCGCCCTCTAGATTACAGTGCCTTACTACATCTGCCCGGGTCTGGTCTGCTTGTTTTCCGTCCTCCGAGGCTGCTGTGTCTGGGACACTCACCAACCCACTGGCTGGATCCAACCTCATTCTCTTGGCAACGACTGACCTATTAAACCAGGTTAGTGACTCACATGTTTATAATCATCCTTTGTCAGATTAACGTTGTCACTAACCTGTGTTTCCTTCCTTCAGATATTCCTGCCTTTGACGCCCTAGCTGCTCCCTGCAGATCCAACTTTTAAGTAATCTATCTGTCTGTCTGAATACTTGGTCCTCTGTTCTGAGCATCTACATCTGAGAATCTGAAAAGCGGACTGTCAGATATTTTTATGACTCCACATATTACAGTGAATCATCCAGGAAAAATATCTACAGTAGATACCATCATAATGCCAGTGCCATTTCATAAGAAAGATGCTATTTATATTTAACCTACTTCATGTTGTCATCCAGGTTCTATTCACGTGATTTTAGCAAATACTTTTTCCCTTATAGAGCCAGGTTTGGTGTATCTTTTTATTATCTTTATGGATAAAACAATCAGTTTTAAGGTTTTTGTATAAAAAATGATAAACAAAATAAGAAAAACTAATGTCTGAATTAAGAGATATTTTCAACAAAGCTTTACATAAATATCATTCTTCAATTTATGCTTATTTGTTTAGAGATCTGATTCTTATTTCCAGAAGTGGTGATACTCACAACATCCTTCTTCATCTGATCCATCCCCACAGTCATCCACAAGGTCACAGAGAAACAGGCGCTCCACGCATGCTTTGGTGTGCACACAATGAAAATGTGTGGGCTCAGGACAAACAGCCACTGCCGGTGGCATCGAACAGTCTTTGAAGGAGATATCATCAAAAGCAGAGATGCCATCGAACACACCGAGGCTGATTTTAGCCAGAGCAATCTGGAAGGGCTCGGTGATGCGGCCCAGCTGAACGGTAACCTGGTTCCACCGTCGTCCTTGATCGTAAAGGGTCGTCCAAATGACAGTTGTGTTTTCAGTTCCTTTGAATCGAATGGACATTTCAGCAGCCCCCACAGATACACCCGAGTTATAGTGCCTGAGGGGATAAGAAGTAGATGGAAGCAGAAACTAAACTGATAAATATATCCAGCCATGGTAAGGTGTGCATTCTGAGGTAATCTACTGATTCTACCTATGATAATGCATCCTGCATGATCTCCAGCAGTATTATGTGAGCAGTGAACAAATGGGATTTATTAAGGTTTCCATTTTCAGAATTCCTAAGACCATTAGGCAGACATTTGATAAATCCCTTAATTTATGAGCTTTTGGGACATAAAGCCGTCTCAGCATGATATATTTACTTTAATATTTATCACTGCATTTCTCAGTAAAATGAAAGAAACTTTAAAAGCATAAAGGGGGGGTTCTTTAAAACAGAGTTCACCTGGAAAATTACTGTCTATATCAAAAGTAATACAGTGTAAAAAGCAAAAACAATTCAACTGTGCATCAAAAGAAATGAGTATTATAACATTGTCAACTGAGCACTCATGTCCAATTTTTTTTTAATTCTAACCCTAATTAATTATTCTTTGTGCAGCTCAACATAAAATCATAATATTGACGACTGATGAAACCAACAGTCTATTAATTTAATGTTTCTGAAACTAGACAAAGCTAAAGCTGATATCTATCCTCAGTTAAGGTCATATTCAAATTTCACTTCCAGGAGTGTCACACAGGGAGGCTGGTGACATGAGCAGATCATGTTTTCTGCCTTTGTTATCAATGCAGCTGCTTATCGCTAAGGGGTGTTGCACTTGTCAGGACAGCAATTCCTAAACCCTGTGGTGGACATTTGCATGCTGTCATCTCAGGAGGGGTAAGCGGTGGTCCATACTGAAAAAGCATTAGGGATGGATGAGATTTACCCTGAATAGCTCATGTCTCTGGATGTTATGGAGCTGCTGCAACTTGTCCCTTGACTGGGAGGGTATTTTTCCCCCTATTTGTAGAAGATTACCAGGGTGTATAAAACTATAAAGGGATCACAATCATCAGCCTCTTCAGGAAGGTCTATACCAGGATTCTAAAGTTTTTCCTCTTGCATGCATCTACATCCTCGTTACATTCCATGTTTCAGACATCCAAAGTTACAAAAAGTCATGTCAGGGAGATGACCCCTTGTAGTGAATATAGTTAGAGAGTAACCCTTTGAAAACATTTAGGGACATCAAGATGTGATTAGGGACTGGTCCAAGTAGGACTGTTTCCAATGAGAAAAACAATTTTTTTCTTACTTTTCAGGTAAGACATTGACTACTTATAACCAGCCCACAAAACTCTTGTACTAAAAACATCGAGCTGTCCCTTTAAGAGAGAAGCATGTAAAGTGATTGTGGAGGAATTCAGGGATACAGTAGGATCTATATGTGAGAATAATCTGGTTGTGCAGTCATGTTGAACAGCTGTGAAAAGCTCTAGATGATAAAAAAAAAGAAAGAATAGCAAACCATGGAGAGTAAAGGATGTGACAGGTCACTCACCAAAAAGTCACTGTGCATCTTGAGGCTGATTGTTTAAACCAGGGACCTCTGAGAACAGCTTTTGGATAGAGACTGCTGCTGTTTTTCAGAACAAACATGAAATGACCTGCAGTAACAGATACCTTCATTAATATCCTTTATTTACTAAACTGCATAAAATTAATATTTTTGACAGAATAGATGGTTTCAAACTACACAGTTTGTTTACAAATAACTTTGTTCACACCTCGAATTCATCCATTTTAATGCATTTGCCTGACTGATCCGCTTTCTACCCTCCCCTTAGTGTTCATATCAAAGTTGCCATGGTGACAGCACATCCTTAGTTGTATCTATGGATGCTCATAAAAATCTTAGATTCTTCATAAAAACTCTTTATCTAAACCCACTATTCCTTGATTTGAGAATGAGATCATATATAAACATCAGCTGAATGTGCTGTGGGTATCACTGCACATGGTTGTGAAAACTCCCTTCAAAGCTGAGCACTATTTGCATTTCGGGAGGGCTTCCAATTTTTCCATAAATTGTTTAGATTACTGGCGCCACTGCTGTATTTCAATGCAAATATATATACATATATATATATATATATATATATATATATATATATATATATATATATATATATATATATATATATATATATATATATATATATATATATATATATATATATATATACATATATTCTTTTTTTTTACTGTTATAAGCTGCCACTTCTTACTGGTTATAACTGCTTGCTGTTTTGCAGGCTAGTGCTAAACTAGTATGCATTAATAAATGGGGACCTGGCTTCAAACTCTTGCTTTCCTAACGTTTAATGATGATTATCAACAATTTTTCTATAGTATATAACTATAGGCTTTTAAGTCCCAGCCTATGGAGAACCTTTTTTCCCCTGATTGCTCTGAAAGCCAGCTATGCTATTTTTTAACATCCTCTTGTAGCCTGCAAAATAAGTGTGGAACTGGCTTTAAACTGCTGTTTTCCAAATATCCTGTAAAACTTTGCTTTTCTGTAGTGTTATTTTAAAATTGTTAGCAACAGCGATGGGTGAGCCAGTTTTGAAAGTCTTTTTTACTAACTGGCTGTAAAAGTGAGCTGTGCTACAGTGCTAATATCAGAATATTTTATCTGTTGCTTAAACCACAACATTGTGAAAACTTGTTCCACACCGATGGTGCAGGGCTAGCATTATATTGTATAGGAGAATATTATTGGTTCTGTTGTGCCCCTATATATATATATATATATATATATATATATATATATATATATATATATATATATATAATTTCTGCTTTGCCCTAAAACAACGCATTAGTTAACATTACTATGAACAGCTGTTCATAGTAATTTTCTGTAGTTTTCTGTTTGTATGAAAATAATCAAGCAGCAGAAGATAGCTATAGAACATAATACTTTTTTTTACAGTATATTGTAAAAAATATATTTATATTCGAAGTGTTAAATAAATACTGTATCTTATGTTGTCTGCAGGCTCCACAAAAAATAAAAATCTCCAACAGATTGCTTTAACATGACTAAAAGAACAGATGTTGCTTGTTTGCTTTAACAGGACTTGTTAAGCTGTCGTCTCTGTTTAGGAAAGAAGCAGGAAGATGTAATGAAGCCAAATAAATAGATGAAATATTGTGATGAATGAAGGAGATATACTTTGCAGAGATTTATTGTTTGACTATTAAAAAAAAAAAAAAAAAAAAAAACTATTTTACCTAACAAAATACTAGTTTCAGATGTAGATTTTAAATAATGTATCTTTCTAGTATATCTGGTCGGGATGCCATGCACTTGGTACAATTTCTCTTTATTTGTAGCATATGTCATACGTGTGGATGTTCTCATTGTTGTTTTCTCTACCGTTAGTGTCGTTAGTGGTGTGGTCCAGTAGTGGTGGGTGATCATAGTAGTCTGGTGGTACATTGTCAGATGAGCCTCTGATCCAGTCAAAACCATCTCCAGGAGTGAGCTCATACCAGCCGCATAAACCGTTTTCAAAGTTACATTCAGAGGCTGAAATGGAAGAAAACCAAATAACTGCAGAGATATTGTCCCTCTGGATAGCTTAAAATACAGTTTTTACCTGATCTGACTTAATTTGATTCATTTGCTGTTTCTCTGAAGATTGACATTGTTTGTTGGTATGTTATAAACTGAATCAGCTGGACCTAATTGTTTAGGAGGTGAGGTTTTATTCACTAACTGTTTGCTAATGCAGTGTTCAAAGTAAACTTTGCAGAATTTTCTCGTCTTTGTGATGAAGTTGTTGGCTTGAACAAAGCTTCAGTCTAAACTAATCAGAGGAGGAAAGAAACCAATAATAACCAAAGGTCTCTGTAGCTGAGTACAGATTGGTGCTTTGTAATAATCTGCACCTATTCTGTAACTGAATATACTTTATTACATTTGCACATGCTGTGCACACAAAAAATGCACAACATTGTAGATGTGGCCAGCAAATAAAGAAACTAAAATGTAATATAAGTGAATGGTTGCCATCATGTTTACACTGTACTTTAACTTACAATAAAAACAGAAGATGTGGTTAATAAAAAGAGAAATTGGTTGATTTTTAACTCACATCTTCTACTCTGAAAAGCTTTCATTTGGCTGCATCTGCAGTACTTTGAAATCTGAAACCCTTAGCAGGCGTAGAGCTGATAAAGTAGTTTTATAGTTTAATATGTGGCTGATTGAAGAACGCTTATAAATCTAATCAGTTTGTAACCTGTACTGAACAGCATGAAGGACTCCTCTAGTTCAAAAAGTAAAGGTACAGCAACAAATACAGTTGGACATAGAGACAACAATCAGCACTGGAGGAAGATACAGTCTTTTCTGTCCTTAACAGCATTTTCTTAAAAAATAAAAAAAATCAATTTCTTGACTGCAGCGGCAGAAAGACTGCTGAAACATTTCAATCCAATACAAACTAATATCAGAACATGCCAGCTTTTTTAACAGATGATACATCTAAAATCATCTCTCAGTGGGACTAAAATGGGATTTTTTTCCCCAGTGCAGCTTCGTAAAGTGGTTCTTACGGCAGCTGGCTTCATCCTCTCCATTGGGACAGTGTGTTGTGAAGTCACACACTTTGCTCTCCTCGATACACTCCCCTCCATCACAGGCGAACCATGAGGGAGGGCACAGAGGAGGACTGGGAATGCTGCCCTCTGCCAAACAGAAAATGAAAATGAGACATTAATAAGATTAAAGGAGCCCTAGTATATCTGCAGTGGAGGCTGTTTCATAACACAAAGAGATATCCGTGATCAGATTAATTTGAATCAACTATATAATAAAAATATCTTCATGGAAAGAACCAGGTGGATAGAACAAATTAAGTTAGTGATGCCCATGGTGCATTTGGTTAAACTCTGCAGAAATATTCCAGCCTTTGATCCATAGTACAGCTAAGACTCAATATTTTTAATTTACTCAGAGGCAAACTATAAAGATCAATGGAAAGCCATCATAAGTATTGCCTCGTTTTTTTGTTTTTTTTTAAATAGCTATTAGCTGGCTTCTGATATTAATCTTTTAATTGCCATTTTAAGTCTCTTCTTAAGACCCATCTTCTTTCTTTGGCTTTTGGCATCTAAGAGGTTTCAATTTTTTTATTGTGTCTGTATATTAATATGTATCTATTTTTAATAATTTCTATTTTATAATTGCATTGTATATTTTGATTGTGTACAGCACTGTGGTCGGTGTATAAAACGCTTTATAATAAAGATGGTATGGTATGGTATGGTATGGTATGGTATGGTATGGTATGGTATGGTATGGTATGGTATGGTATGGTATGGTATGGTATGGTATGGTATGGTATGGTATGGTATGGTATGGTATGGTATGGTATGGTATGGTATGGTATGGTATGGTATGGTATGGTATGGTATGGTACTTTCAGATTCTATTGTAATTAACATTTTTTAAGGACTAATTTAAGCTGTAAAATGGCAACTGCAAAAAAGAAAAGCAAGGAATTATAAAATAAAAAACTATTTGACTGATGCAGCTTACATTTGTACAATACAACCTGACTTGCATACTATTATCAAGTCCTGAAAGTCACATGCAAGTAGATGTCTATTTCAAGAGACAGAATGCTATAATCAAAACAATTTCTGGTAAATGTTCCAATAATTTAGGGAGCACAATACCCAGGGAGGGCTTGGTATAATTGCAGCAGGGTCATTGTAGAAATTAACGAGATAAATGACCAATTTTTTATAAGTAATCAAAAACATATGTCATGGGTAATGTTGATATTATTTACTGAGTAAAATCAAAGCAAAAACTTAGTAGTTTTGTAATTTTAAGGAGGCTGTATTTTCAATTTCAATAAAGTTTAACTGCATGTGACATTCAACATTGTGTCATTGTTCACTGGACATTTTTTTGTTCAACTGTGAAACCGAATGGTTAGAGAGGGCACAAACCTTTTCCTTTCAATCAAAAGTTGGGCCCACTAAGAAATATTGATAATTGGCATGAATTATAAGCATTATCTGAACAGGACAAATGAAAAGAGCTGTTAGTAAGGCTGAGCTAGAGATGATATTGCACTATGTCCACAGGAATAAAAATGTCATCTGAATGTTGGTAGAAATATCACTCCGATTGAATGAAAGAAGACTAAACCTGGTTTCTAATTGATGAAATGAAAATTATCTCCTTAAACACAAGAAATTAACCTCATAATGCCTCCTTGAACACATTGATGAGTACGTCCTTTACTACCTGTTAAACAGGGCTCCCAGTTTAGGGGAAGCAGGTATGTTGAGACTTTTGGTTTAAAAGAAATATGTCCTTGTTTTGAATGCATTTCCCAGGACACACAGATTGGTGCACTAGGTCAAATAGATCAGACATAGTGGGACTACCCAGCATTTTTGCAAAAACATGCACAGGTTAGGGTAAGAAAAACTATATAATTTAAATGAGATTTTTCACAGTTTTTAATCATCCCAAAATTAATGTTCTAATGAGTCACCCAGAACAGAGTACCACAAATAAACATTTATCAGTGATCACATACATAAAAAAAACTATCTATCAAACTATCTTATTGAAATAATTAAAAAATATATTTCAAATAAAATCTGCCAGACCGAACGTAAAATGCAGCTGCTGCATTTTCAGACACAAAAATAGTAACCAAGAAACATAGAAAAAATAATTGGAATAATATTATTTTTAGGCAGTTCCAAATAGCCACGTCTAATCTATTAACAGTGATATATGGGAAAGAATGAGTAAAGAAGAAGCTGGCCCAAAATGAAACCAAAAAATAGGATGAGCCGCCATTCTTTCAAATATTCATAACAACAGGAAGTTAAATTTTTCCTATAAATATATATATATATATATATATATACCGTATGATGATGGATGGATGGATGGATGGATGGATGGATGGATGGATGGATGGATGGATGGATGGATGGATGGATGGATGGATGGATGGATGGATGGATGGATGGATGTTGTAACAATGCTATTCTGATCTTGCATCCATATACCAACAGAGGACCATGTTCAAATCCTTTCTGAACTATCAAATAAACTGTGCCATTGCATGGCTTCTACACTTCCACAAAAAACAAAAAAAAAGCAAGCACAATTTTAATGACCCCGTTATCCTGGAATAAATCCAATCCCAGGTGTTTTAATATCCTCACTCCCATTCATCAGTATTCACAACAAGCTTCTGGGGCTCTGTTTATGTTTGACGATATTTCAAAATGTCAAGGTTTGAACTCGTTTAATGTGTGTGGTGAGGTGTGAGAAAGGTAGCTAATACCATGCAGAACCGTGCATCCGGGACTGAAAGATAAATCATCAATTGCTAAGATCTCAGAGGCCTGACTTCTGGCTGAAAGCTCCCCTCGAATTACCACCTGGAAGATAAACAGTGAAGGGATATCACACTCATCAGGAACAGCTTTTTATTCTTATTACTTTTAGATTACTAAGAAGAAAGAAAAGATGTCTTGGAAAAATATCTTAAACACAGGAATATAATTAAAAGATACTTTTTCTGTACAGAAATAAAAAACACAATGTTGATGAAAACTACTATTTGGAACTTTGTGTTAGTTAACACAGAGAGAGTTAAATTTAAAAAAATTTATAAAAAGTAGAAGGTTCCACAATTTCGAGAGTTATTCAAAAAATGAATTAAAAACATATTGACACGTAGCCAAACAGGCTTTACCAGTCATGCAATTGCATGACTCATTTTAAGGATCAAGAGTAATGGTTACGTATATCAGCCAAATGTGGGTTTTATATGTTTTTTGTTTTATTTCTCATCTATTAAGAAGAGAGAAGAATTATCCTTTAAACATGATGCATTCAATGGCAGCCGTATAACTGGTATAAAATTTGGCCTGTTTTATACAGTTTAAGCCAAAAGTAATTAAAAGTTTGGAACTTTTTTACATTTTGTAAGATAGCAAACACAAACTTCAGTGTATTCTATTGGGATATATGTGACAGACTGACTGAAAATGGTGAAAAAAGACATTGAATGAAGAAAGCCATGTAAATTCTTTGGTAAAGGTTTTTAAAACTCACTCAGATGGACATAACTGGATAAGAAAAAAAAAGGTACCGTGGTAAAGTGAGAGGGTCCAATCTACTTTTAGAAAAAAAAAAAAAAAAAAAAAAAATATATATATATATGAAAGGAAACTAGGATTAATTGCCAAACTGAACACACATTAACATTGTGGTGGGAGCATCATGTTGTAGGAAGAAGAGTAGTGAAAGTTTGTTTGATGAGAACAATGGATGGATGCGTTGGTCCATCAGATAAAACCCCGGTGATACTGTATACATTTATGTTTGTGGTTATTCATGAGAAAAGTTGTAGGATTTCATGAGATATCAATTTCACAGCAGCCTGGTCTGTTAATCATTGAAATGATTTTTGCTTTAACAACGGGAACTCTAAATGAAGGGTTCCAATTTGCCTTTAAAATCTAGGCAAAACGTATATCACAATTTAATCTTTCCTTTTAAATCTGGTCTTCTAAAATTTTTTACAAATCCTCCATATGCTGGACTTTTAGGCTCACAATGAATTTAAACTTTGAAAAATGCTGACTAATGCTGCTGAAACAGGAAGTGAGTTAATGGTGAGTGAATGTTAGCAGATGTGACCTCTCTTTATCACCTGCAGACAGCAAAGAGGTAGAGAAGAGGAGAAATCAACCCTCTGGCATGCTGTGACTATATTGCAAGGATGCTAACAACAGTTTGACATCCAGATGGTCTCTGAGGGGTCCAAACGGGTCAGTACTTTCCCAGCAACACTCTTGTATTGCTCAGCTCATTAAAGCTGCAATGTCCACTTTAACATCATATACTTTAAGAGCAATGGAAACTCATTTTGTAACTGTGACAGACCTGAAAGCTTTGATTGCTGTAGAAGGGAACAACTGCCCACAACCATGTTTCCGTCTGTGTGGAGTGTTTCCAGACTTCGGTGCTTTGACTGTCTGAATGGGACTGAAGAAGAATCTGAAGATTTCCATGTGCTGCTCCAACATGATGGTAGAAACTTATCTGATGAATAAAAAAATAAAAAACATTGTCAGTGTACCTCTTATTAAGGAAAAGCTAGAAATCCCTTGAAACATAGTTTCTACATATGGTGCATTTCCAGACTCAGATTATTAAAAAGAAAGAAACTTAAAGAAAGTGAATAAGTGCTTAAGTTAATTTTGTAGTATTGATGCTTTCATTACTGATTTTTCTCAAGATAAGATTGTAAACTTTTTTTTGGAAATACCTCTTTTGTATAAAATCAAATCAAAAACTTTTGTGATACTAGTCTTATTTTATCAACTTCACTACAAAACAGTCCAATTTTCAGATCTACTAACCTCCTTTTTTTAGTAACCATTCAATCTTAGTTTTATCTCAATGTCCCAACTCTGGGGCTGCACAGTGGAGTAGTGGGTAGCACTGTTGCCAGCACAGGGTCTTTCTGAATGGAGTTTGCATGTTCTCCCTGAGCATGCGTGGGTTCTCTCTGAGTACTCCTGCTTCCTCCCACAGTCCAAAAACATGACTGTTAGGTTAATTGGCTTCTCTAAATTCTCCTTAGGTGTGAGTGTGTGCGTGCATGGCTGTTTGTCTCTGTGTCGCCCTACGATAGACTGGCAACCTGTGCATGGTGTTGCAACTGTAGCTCCAAAAATAATGAAATAATCCATTTATCTTGAAATAACACACTGCTATTGTTGTGCAAAAGTGATTTAAATGTGTCATTGTTCCATTTTCATATTCTGAGATAGCAAAATCTTAAATTGATTTTATTGGGTTAAAATTCCATGTACCGTAATGACAAAACAACAAGACAAGCTATTTTATTCATTTTAAAATAACCTGTTATTTTAGATGAAAGGAAATCTGTAGCTGGTTTCTTATAAACAATTTTAGTATCTCAGTAAATACCTCAGTATTTCAAGGCAATGACATCTCTTGATCATTTTGTCACAGCAAAGCTTAATAGAATATTTTCTGTTTTTGTTGTGATGCTGTAACAGCACAGTTACATCAATATATCATCTGAATAGGTCTATAAGGACTAACCCTTCTAAACATATTTGGACATTTTCCTGAAAATTACTTTACTTTCAACTTTTATTGGGGTGATGGGAACATAAAAATATATGAGCAATATTTATTATAAGATTAAATTCCATACTTTTGAAGAATGTGCAAATATTCTATAAGCCAATTACCTGGCAGTTGTGAGTACGCAGGAAGAGTGGACTCATCAGGGATGCAGTGGTCTCATTTTCTCCAACAGGTGAAAGGGTCAGAAAGTGGGCTGTGAGTCAAAAGAAATGTTAAAAACAATTTGTGAGACAGATGTAATATTTTGTAAAAATGCCAGCTTCTCCCACCTGAGGTGTTTCTGTGATCCTGTTTAAGAGCTGAGGCCTCATTTGTTCTGTTCCATCTGAAGGGGGTTTCCGGGCTTTGAATCAGATCACAGAAACCATCTTCGAAATCACATCTTGTATATGTAGAACCTGTGATACCAAACATTTATTTGAATAAAACACTTTATTTTGGTTAAGATGTATACATATCCATGCGGCTCTTGTGCATCGGAAATTTTATATATATATATAAATCTGTATATATATATACAACTATAAAAACTCAAAAAAAGGATCCAGTCGGTGGGCTATCGTTCTCTGGGCACGAACTGAACCTCTAAACCAGGTAAGTGACTCATGCATACTTTTCATTCTCTGTCAGGTTAACGGGGTCACGGAGTTTTCTGCCTCAGATGTCCTTGTAGCTGTTATCATAGACCCGTTTATTTTAATCAACGCAGGGAACTTCTACTTTAGTTGTCCACCACATAGAGTAAAACTGGCATGAAGATGCTAAGGTTGAACGAAAGCAAATATTCAATAGCTCTTGTCAGATAAGAAGAAAATATTACTTTTTGGTCTTCAAAAAAACAAATTACATGGTGGAACACTAACACTCCACAAACACCCTCTATATGCATAGGGGTGGCAGCATCATATTGTGGTGTTTTTTTCAGTAGCAGGGCCATAGAAGCACGTCAGAACTGATGATTTGCACTAAATTCTGGAAGCTACCAGCCAGTTGGAATAATTGGGACTTGCTTTGGGCTAAAAGACATGGGCATTGGAATCACTTAGCTGAGCATGAGCTCATCTGTGAACTGAAGTCAAATGAGAGTAAATATGTCCAAATGTCTACAGCTTGGCTGAAAGGATGAGATCAATTAGACAATATTTCAAAAACACTGCATCAAATCTGTCACAGAAGGGCTTAAATATCATTGTATTAAGGTGTGGCAATTGCTCAGTCAGGGTCAGATCAGATGAGCATATAGAGAGCTGATCAAAAGTCTCCAAATGGCAATGAACTTAGGCAGCAACAGTTAAAGTTCATCCAGACATTGACTACTACACAATTTGGCTGCTAAATTTTGCTCAACAAGACAATAAGACCCTTCAACCTACTTAGTTTTGCCTTAACTAGATTGGTCGTCAGTTTAGGTCCAACTGCTGGTCTGTAACAGCAAAATTTCAAAGGTAAACTTACAATTTTCTTCATCGCTGCCATCTCCACAGTCTTCGGTGAAGTCACAGACGGTGTCTAAAGCCACACAAAGTCCCTCACCGCAGGTAAACTCCTGATGTGAACAGGCAGCGACACTTTGGGCCAAAAGCAGCCACAATGTCCCCAGCAGTAACTCCATCTGTTGTCTTTTATTCTTTTAGCTAAAAGACATTATTATCAATTTAATTTGAAGCATTTTGTTTCTATAACTTCAGAAAGAAGTGTGGTTGCGTTTCCTCCTCTATGAGGAAACCGCTTAGATATGACTGATGATGTTTGCCTGTTTGTACGTTGTTAGCCTGTCATAAAAGGCAATAAATGTTTTTTATGGCCATTACTCAATAAGGTCCATTTGTGAGTTCACATGTTGCAACAGGAAGAAACATTTGTGAAGCAGCTCAGGCTGCTTTGATTAAAAAACCTATTTGAAGTTTTTGGTAATACATCAAATATCTTTAATGATAACTTTTTAAAAACTGAAACTATTCTCTTGTGTATGGTAAATATTGGATTTTCATTTACAGATACAAGCAGGTAAATACTGTCTAAAGTTTTTCCTCTCCACTGTCGCTACAAGCATGCTTAGTGTGAGGGACTGTATTTGAGTCAATGAGTCGATGCAATCAACTGGTTTTCCTTAGATAGAAAACTTTGAATCAATTTGACCTTATGATCTGGTTAAACTGTAAAGTGCCTTGAGATGACTTGTGTTGTGAATTGGTGCTATATAAATAAACTGAACTGAACTGAATTAAACCATGCAGGATAAATACACCTGCAGCACAATGCACAAACACAAAACAGCTGAACACTTTAGCGTTGTACTATAACGCTCTTTCAGGTCTACTTTGGGAAGACCACCTCTATCTGAAACTCCACAGGCTATGTGTCAGCCTTCCATGCAGCATTAACGGGATATCTTAAAATACACCAGCAGCAGAATGATTCAGGAGCCATTCTCACACATCCTCAATCCAGGTGTGGGAGTTTTAACCCTCAACCAAATGCAGGCAGGAAGGATCCAGCAATCTCCATCTTCCAGAGACTCTCTAATAATTTAAAAAGAATCATACAGGCATAAAAAAAATAATTTATGCCCTTTAATAACTGAGATGGATCTTAAAAATGTAGTATTTGATAGATTCTGGGAGGATCTGATTACACATTTACATAGCTACAATGAGAAGTTTAAGTTTGAAGCGGAAAACAACAAAAAACTCCCTATGAAATCAAATCTGTGGTGCTAAACTGAGGCTGTAAGCATTCCTTAATTGCAACAACGAGAAGACACTGCAAGTTCAGGAGGCTTCAAAAGCCCTTAATCCTTTCTTCTATGAAACTTATTATTAAATCCTGAAGAACTTTTGTGATTTGATTAACCTTTGGGGACGTAGTTGAGGTCCAAATTAAAACCTCCGAGTAAGCTTTGAAACTGTTTTAAAGAGTGTATATGAAGACAGATGTTGATGTAGAGTTTTTAGACTTGCAAACCAAAGAAAATGTTTATTAAAATTAACGGTAACACTGAAGCTATATTTTTATACTTTGTCATATAGTTTACCCTATAATTTACCCTCACACATCAGTAGTATCTCCTGCAATCGACAGATTGTGTATCAGACATGTTACATTACAAATGTTCAATTTTGCTTTCTTTAAAGATAATTTTAGTAAAATAAATCAATGCAACAACAACGACTGCTTGGCTAATTAGTCAACCTAAACATGGGAAGGAAAACAGAAAGAAATATAAATGAAATCAACAATGTTTTGAAAAGATTCCTTCATGATTGCTTTTATTGTTTTTCTATATTACCCTCCCTTCCAGCCCCCGTCAAATTCTCACTTACTGAGACTAAAGACTTTCAAGTAGATAGTCTCTGCTGTTTTAGGCAGTAATGATATGTGCTTCCTTGTCTTCTTGCGAGCTAAATCAAGCCATTCCCTGCTGGGAGAAATGATCACAACAGCTGGAGTTTAATCTTAGGAGGGAACCTGTAGGAGGTCTGTCTCCTTGTGCCTTCAATCAACACAGGAGGAGATGATATCTGGGTGCTTTAAGACGTCTTTTATGTGTTCAAAAACATGCATTTCAATGTAGGATTCAGGATACAACCACCCTGACCTACCTGAGTCCAGGACTCTGAGGGAGGCCTCCTGGGTAAACAAAATAGGTAAACATCAATGTAAAGACAGCCAGGAACGATACCCTGCATGTGTGGTTGATTCCATAGTTTAACATCAATAAAATAAAAATCCGTTTTAAGGGCTGACTCATGTAAAAACAAAAGCATGCAAATCTACATTGTTTAATGATCAGAGATATCTGTCTCATGACTAAAGGAAAATAAATCTATGTAATATAATTTGGGAATTACATGAAATAGCAGTGGGTTGGAAAGCTTCAGACATTATCCAATAGCACCACCTGGTGGTTTTGTTTTGCATTACTGTTCTACCCTTTAATTTACATTATAAAAGCTCTGTCCCTTTTGGCTTTGAAAAAAAATGTTTTTGTTTTTTTTATTCCTATTATCGTTAAAATGCTCTTACATGACATGTAGAACAAAGCGGCACCTCCAAGCCTAAAGCTACAGTAGAAGTAGAAACATTGAGTAGCCTATGGGTGCTTGAAATGAACAACAGGCTTAGAAGGCACACAATGAACTTCCAAATCAAGACAAGAATTCATCCTTAAAAACCCTTCATTCGTGCATCTTCTCTCTTTAGAGGGTTTCATTGATTAATATATTACAATCATCTGACTCTGCCTGTTGGTTAATGGTATCAGAAATACTTAACTATGACTTTGTGCAGTTGGACCCATCTACTTGCATTTTTTTCCCCTTGAAATCTGCAGGTAACATTTCTGAGGTCATGTACTGCAGAAGCAGAGGAAAGGGGATGAGATGTCATATTAGACTTTTGCATGTTTTATACAGTTTTTAGTCTCTTCTTTTTTGTCAAAACTTCAGCTGATCACATAAAGAGGCAATATTTAAAAAAAAATGTCTATATTAGATCCTTTTTTATTTGCATCTATCAAACTACAGTCATTTCTTTACAGCATACAAAATGTTCATAGTTCTGTAAAATATTTTTTACATCAAATCAATTTTTAGCATTTTAGTATTGTATTTATGTTATGGTGCAACATAAAGTAGAATAACTGTGAAGGAAGGAAAATCTGATTGTTTACAGCTAGAAAGGAACCTAAAGCCACTCTTACAGTTTTCTTTTGTAAAATAGAAAGAAAATAATTTATAATTTTACTTTCCCTTCACCAGTATGCACAACTTAGTGTTGGTCTATCTCAATAAAAACAGTTTAGGTTTCATTAAAAATAAAGTGAATCTAAATTCATAATCTCCAAGACAGTATATATTAGTGATGGGTAGATGAGACGTCAGAAGCGTTACAACACATCCCCAAACGGTAGTGACACAGTCACTGAATACCGACACTTGCTGGATCTTTAAAATCACTACAGGCAGCCTCTTTAACAGACCTGACACTGATTTGATGACATTTAATACGATTTACGCCATTGTATGTTATATTGTGTTCATATCATTCATATCTTTGTCTAAATTGAAAATATTTTATGTTTTTAGCTTCAACCATTAAATAACGTGAATATGTATTATATCAGGAAATTTTAAGTGAACATGTGAATGAGGATGCTTGTGATTCCAAAAAAGTATTTTAAAAAAACCACTGGACTTTTTAGGAATGACTATGACCAGGATGACTGAGAATCTTCACCACTAAAGAGGATATGTGTGGACTAGGATGTATTTATGTATTCATTAATTTAAAATTACAGCAAGAACAGTAAATTAAGAGTTCATTTGAAATCAATTTTAATTCAGATACTGTTGAACGATTACTGAGAGGATGACAGAAGAAAATGAAAACAAATTCAATCAAGATGGTCCCATCGGCTGAAACCTTTCTGTCCCTTGAGGCTGCTCCATATTTTCACACTAATTTGATGTTAAACCACAAAAGATCAGACTTTTTGGCAGATGCATTGCATTGGCAGACGTGCTTATAAACAGTTTAGTGCGGCAGTCAGTTCCAAACAGCTCCTTTAACCATCACACGACTTTCTTGAAACGATGCGTGCAACGACACAGGATTTTTGCTGTAAGAGTTCGACGCATGCACCAACGCATTGCTGTTTCCGGACCCATCACTAGTAGCCTATATATGGAAGTAAAACAATAACCTTTCTGCTACATTTGCCTTCTTTTACAAATGCAACAAAAAACCTGTTTCTTTCATTTTCAAACATGGGAAAGTTTGTGCCATATTATTTATTGTCACAAAGTTAGTTACTGCTCACATCTAAAACTGACATTTGACAAAATAATTGACATTTTTTTCTGATACAAGATTAAGTGCAGAAATATATAAAAAAAAAAACTCTGAATTATTAAATGTATAAAGGCTGGTTTATACTCAGAAACCAGGTCGTCTGTGTGTGTCGCAGTTAACGCAGATATGCCCCCGCCCCTTCGGCAGACACTCTGCTGCACCTCTACAAATTTGTAGGTGACTGCAGACAGTGCTGCAGACAGGAGGCCTCTGATTGATCAAATCTACATCGGTTCTACTCTATGCCTATTTCCTGTTCAGTACCTTACTGGCTTGTTTTGTTTGTATGACATTGTGGAAAACATCTGGATCTCTGCTCTTTTTCGCCCTCATGTCCCTCCGTTGTCACACAAACTTGCCCCCACTTCCTCACTCAGCCGCATCTAGACCCACAGCTAGTTCGTCATTGTCCCTCTTGCGTTGTTGCATTGAATAACATAGCGCAGACCACACTTCAATATTGAGAATAAATCAAAAATATCTGTGACACCTCACGGCGACACACTGCTGCGGGAGTATAACCAGCCCTTACTGCGCCACTTTTTTGGGCTTAAGGTGGGAGAGGCTGGTATTTTTACAAATGCAGTCTAACAGATACCCTAAGAACAGAAAATATAGATTAAAAGGGACAAAGCCCTTTAATGAGGTTTAACTATGATTTTGAAATTTGTGTGGATTTTGCTGCTTGTATGATAGCACTGAATTCCCCTCCTTTAGACCACCAAGTCTTTATCATAATTGAGCAGGTCACAGGTTAAGAAAAGGTCAGTGCGTCCGCTGTCCATCAGCACCTTATTGAGCTGGTTGCTAGTCATGTTCATGTCTGTGGATTCATCCAGAGGCCACTCCAACAGCTGGGCGCTAGAGGGCAGGTCAGGCAGCCCAGGCTGGTAGTCTTCCAGAGGGTTTGGGTAGAGTAACTGTCGAAGGCAGGGCATTCTTGCTGCCGTCTGCACCAGGGCAATCAGACCCGCCAAGGACAGTGGGTTCAAAGCTAAAGCCAAACTTTTAAGGGCCCAGCAGCCTGCCAGTGTTGGCAACAAGCGGCTAAGAAGACCATCGGTGAGGCCACAGCCGCTCAGAGAGAGGTGCTGCAAGCTGCTGGAAGCCTGGGAAAGGAGTCGGCGGATAGAGGGTATGGTGGTTTCATCCAGACAGTTGTCGCTTAGATCCAGCTGCAGCAGAGAGGAGGCATGATGGCTGCAGGACAGATAGGCAAGGTCAGCTGGACTAACACTCAAATAGGGAAGCTCCAGAACCTCTAAGGGCTGAGGCAGTGAGCTGTCGGGAGAGAAAAAAAAAAAAAAGATTAAAATCTTAAATAACACTTTTCTTTTTCTTAAAGGTGGAGGATTGGGTGAATTTCTGAAAAGACACACACTCTCCACTTAAAAAAAAAAAAAAGAAAAAAAACACACATACACAACCCTGTACCCTGTACCCGCTCCCGAGAGGGAGCGCCCATTAAATGTGTGCAAGAGGGTACCACGGGCCAATTTATCTTTGTGCACGCTCTGTTTAAACGTTGCTGTTTGCATCGCTCATACAAGCTTACTTTCCAAAAGGACATTTGCAATTTTTCCACTATGTCAGACCCGCCACCAGTAAGTGAAAATGGGGACGAGCACATAGGAGTTACGTAAACATGTCACCAGAATGATTGACAATTAGGAAGACCACTCATTTTGATGATCCACCCAGAAAAAGAACATCCTCCACTATACCTTTAATCTTATTTTAAAGGTATAGTGAATATTTTTATAACACCAAATTATGTAGGGCAGAACTACAAAGTGGAAGGACTCTTCTTCCAAAATAAATCTGAAATGGTTTGTGTGCATTAGGGGTTTGCCACACTGTATTTGTAGAAGGACCCCTTATTCCAATTATCGATGCAAGTCCTTCACCAGCTTAATTTGATTTTAGTTTTAAAGAAGCTCCAGTTCAGTCTGATGGAAAGGAGAACATCCGTTTTCAAATCTTTGCTCCGGGTCTCTATTAGAACTTTTGAACCATTTCAACACTGTAGTGATTAGTTGTTGAGGCTTTAAAATCACTACAGCACAGACTGACACTTATTTGATGGCCTATAATATGATTTAAGCCATTGTATGTTATACTGTATTATTTCATATCTTTGTTAAAATTGAAAATATCTTGATATTTTTAAGTGCAATCCATAAATAATGTGAACATATATCATAATTGGCCAAATTTAAGTGAACATGTGAATGAGGATGTTTGTCACTACAGCACAGGATCTAAATCTAAGCCATTCCATTGCAGCTCTTTTCTTTCTGGTCAAATGTGAACCACTGACCAACTATAAAATATTTTACAGTCTTTAACACGTTTTGTTTGAGGATTATCAGGCAAATATTTCCAGCCATCTTGCCATCATATCTGAGCAGCTGTGATGCACCTGCTAAAAAAATATGAGCTCCAAAAGCATGATGCTGCCACCACCACGTGTCATTGAAAAAAAGGCTGGTGTTGTAGACTTTTGCATACAGACCAAAACGTAACATTTCTCACAGACATGATCACGTTTGTTATATCCCATCTGAGTTGCAGGGTTCTGGTTGATCCCACATGTTTCTTAATTCTCTTTACCTTTATCAAACCCTATAAGTTGCTGTGATTTGAAGAATACTGGGGATGTACTTTTAGTGAGGATCAAATACAAAAAAAATTCATAAATATGTTTTAAGAAGCACTACCTGAGCAACACCCGCAGCTGTCCAGGCAGACGCAGAGTAGTAAGGCTGAGTTGTCGCAGTTCTTGAAGGTTTGCCAGCCCTTGCGACAGGTTCCTCAGGACTTCCTCCTGACCAAAGCTTTCTCTACGAATATCCAGGTTGCAGTAATGGAGCCGCAAAGAGTTCAGTTCAGGGAAGGTGGACAGCAGAGGCAGCAGTTCCGCCAAGCCAGCGACTCCAAGGAAACTGTAACGAATGTCTATGCCCAACAGCGCCCTGCGTGGCAGCAGGTTTAGCAGAGTTCTGATACTGGACACTGATATTTCTTCCACTCTTAGGTATCTGCACTGTAGCTTTAAGGGTCCTGCAGCGCTCAGAGCTGAGCGTACACGATCCCAGGATCGGGCGTTTACAAAAAGATCAGCTTTAACATGCACCAGCACCTCACAGCATGCCTCTTTTTCTTCTGTTTCAAGTTTACTCCCTCCTGAACCTGTCGCTACGATACCTCTCTTCCTTTCCATCTCCATCCTCCTTCGCACCCCTTTAATAAGATCCTGCTCACTGATCGGACCCTTGGACCCCGCCTTCTCCCCGCATGTCTCATCATCCTGTAATGCCCTTGACTCTATCCTCTGGCCTCTCTCTCTTTTTAAATCTCTTTCCCTCTCGAGTGCTGAAAATCGTTTCCTCTCTCGGTCTCCTTCCTTCCTCTTAGCCCTCTGTGCTCCGGCTTTGGCCTGGACCACCATTGTGCAGAGCGCGACGGTCAGAGACCAGCCTCCCATGGGCTCCCCTATTCCTCCCTCATCTTTCTGCAGGCCACTAATGTCCAGTATCTGCAGGGCTGACCTGGAGGGGAAAAAAAAGACACAATACTGATATTACAGATCCAGATCCTAGTTAGTCAATGCAGGGCAGAGACTAATTAGGAAGGTGAATGAAAATTATACATTATTTAAGGACATTTCAAAAATATCTGTAAACATTTGCAATCAGCTCATTATCTTTCACCCTTTATAGGGTAAGTTACCTATTTTGATCACTTGCATACCCCTATCAAATGGAATCCCCCCATCCCTCAGTGAGGTCTAGAAGCACAAGATCTACATCCAGCCATTCAGCAAAGATACTTCTACATGGCTGGACATCTTATTTTGGCATTTGACCAATTGCAGTCGCCTTTCAGTGATATATCGCTCACTGTAAATCAGGTTGGAAAAAAATAGTTAAGTCCAAAAAAGGTAAAACAATAATTGAAAAGTTAAAAAGTAAATAAGCCTAGCTAACAATTATATTTAGGTTTATAAACAAAAGAATTTAAGTAGCAGCATTAATGCCTCTAAGTTTATGTTAAATTAAAAAAATGTGTTTCTTTCACTCTCGGAGTGTTTTTCCTGAATTTCTTATAGAAGCACTTTTGTTATTTTTCTTAATATATTCGGGCAAGTTGGCATTTCATTAACTTTTGCCATCTAAATATCCATATTTTTCAATGTTAATTAAGTAATAAGTTCTTGTCCTGAATTCCAGTAATAGTGATGTTTTGATTTTCAAAGGATTTGAACGAGTGTTAACCGCATTTAAACAAAACAAGGAGTTTAGTTTCCAACATATTTTCACTAGAAACCTTTTCTTAAGTTAATCACTACGAAAACAACTTTGAAAAGCAGCCATTTTTTGTACCTTCGGTCCGTCAGTCCTCTCACCACACCCAGTAGCAGAGCCTGGATGCAGAGGCGACTAGGAGCAGTCTCCCCGGCTTTACTCCGTCCTCCTATTCGGAGGGTCCGCTCCGGCCACCGCTGCACCAGTTCTCCCACAGCTAATGGTCTGCAGCAGGCGAAGGAGGCCTCCAGCAGCGGTCCGTAAAGCTCTCTGGGAACCCAGCGGAGCCAGGTGGGTGACGAGCTGTGGTCACTGACCACCTCCTTGGCACAAATGCTCACCAACGAATGCACCATGGTGAGAAAATGAAGGAAAACATATACGTAGCGCTCTCTTAACTCATCCCACGGTAAGCTAGCTGGGCTAAACCAGCTCCCAACTAAATTTAAAAACAGTAACAGAATATCTTTGCTGTCAATAAGTTTTTACGACTTCATCTGATAGCTACGGTAATAAAGAGCAGAAATAACTTATATAGACTTGCTTGAATGCTCTCTGGTAAAGTAGACAGGTAATGTTAGCTAACTGAACATGAGAAATGTTTACAGTTTACAGTTCGTCTTCTTCTTTTCTATAATGGCGGATCGTAAGCAACTTTAAGGTGCATACCGCCACCTACTGTACATGAGTGTGTAGCAACCTTACCTTACATCAAATTCTATTTTTGTAATTTAGTCTTCTGTAGATAAATAAACAATGCTTCCCTTTATCTGTTTATATCCTTTATATTTCCTTCATTTCCCAATATTCATTTAAGACTCAATTCTTTGCCTGTTCTTTCAACCATCCTTCTTATTTTCTCCCTTTCACGTTCATAAGTTTTACAGTTCATCAGTACATGTTCTACATTTTCTTTTTCTCCACATCCTTCACATTTCTCATTATTTTTCCTCCCTATTAAATATAAATTGTAATTTAAATAGGTATGACCTACTGTTAATCTGATCATTATTACTTCATTCCTTCAGTTTCTCTCAATGATTCTATTTAATACTGATTTTTGTATCTTATATAATCCTCTTCCTTTCTTATCTTCATTCCACCTCTTTTGCCATTTTTCCATTTCTTTACTCTCAATAAGTGAGTTACCTTCCCCTTTCCCAAAATGAATTGTAATGGTTATTGTTCCCTCTAAAGCCCTTTTTGCTAATGTATCTGCTTTTTCATTGCCTTTTACACCTTAATGTGCTGGAACCCAACATAACCAAATATCAATGCCACCCCTATATAATTTAAATAGACTGTGCTGGATTTCTAATACTTAATCTTTCTATTATTTCCTTCTCCCCTGAATACGTTCTAAAACTGCTTTGGAATCCGTGCATACCACCACCCTGACTGGTCTAACCTCTTCTACCCATTGTAAGCTTAGTATAACTGCCACCATTTCTGCTGTGAAAATGGATAGTTGACCTGATATTCTTTTAGAAATGCATATTTTAAACTCTGGTATATATATATGTCTATTCCCACGCATCCTTTTAAATTCTTAGAACCATCTAAATATATTTTAAGGTTGTTATAATAAGAGTTTCTTAAATATATATCACAGGTAATGTTTGTTAACTGAACATGAGTAATGTTTAAGGTTTACACTAATGCCAGGAAGTGAGGTAAAGAGGATAGGCATTCTTGTCAGGAGTGCGGGAGAGGCAGTGATGATAATAATAGTTATAAATGATAAAAGCTTTAATATACAAAATATTCTAAACTAGAATTATGTTTTTCCTTACTAAAAATATTAACAGTATATAGGCAAGAGTTTAAATAGTTTTAAAGGTCATTGCAAGTATTTTATTTTAGCCTCATCTGGATTTAGAATTGTTACCGTAGCGGGATGTGCAGCGAGTTTTCACAGAGACCGACAAAACATTTTAGTGAATCATACCAAAACTTTTTAATTAATCTTAAAATTAGAATTGACCCACGCATATTTGGGGATTCTTCAATTTCAAAATGTGGTAGTAATAACCTCCATTGACCTGAAGGGTTGTGAGACACGCAAAAAGAAAGGGGAATTTTTATTTGATAAAACAAAATGGAAAGTAAATGTTTAATATATGTAATCTTTCCGGAGGATGAACGAAAAACACAATCACATAGCGTTAATAAAACCAGCATATTGTGCCAACCAAAATTAAGAGTTAATATACAACAGATTTAATAGGTAGGCCAAAAAAAATGCTAGACTCAGCTTTTTAGGAAGCAGTATTTCTATATATGGCACACCTTGGTTGGATAATGACACAGTTAGAGTATAGGCTAACATCACTTTTTGAAAAGAAACGTCCTTATTTCTCCCTGAACATTTTAATGAAAGGTTTAAGAACCATGTGGTTTCTATAAAAAACATCTATTTTGATTAATAAAATATGAGCTTTCCGTAGCATTGGTTTGCACATTTTAAAACAATCAAACCCAGATCCTTTAAATTGGCTGGTTCAGTGTTCACCTTAGCAGCATTTAGCGGTTATAAATCCCTGACGTAGTCAGTGCTGATCACACTGCGCAAATTGTATTCTACCAAATATTTGTAAATAATATTTGTCTAAAGGTCAAAACCATAAACAGGATGATTAAAGAGCAAATAGTGGGACAATGAAATATCTAAGTAAATGTCCCTTAAATAATTGCAGTATACCTTCATATCAGTATGGTAGGTGGTGTAATGTCTTTTGTAAAAAGTAAAAATAAAGCATATCACACATACATATTTACTAATTTATTGAAAAGAATCCAGATTAAGTAATAGTAATACAAATAATTTTCACATATCTACAAACCTGTACATTCCTCTTTTAATTACAATCAATGCATCAAGAACATTCACTTTATAACATGACATCATCCATCCCTTTTGGAGTACATTTAACATACCGCAACTAGTGAAATAAAGAAACACAGACGTCACGTTTTTCATGTCTTTAAATGTACAAGGTGGCTAACGAAAGTTTGTTTTAGTCAAACTGTGTTTAAAAATACATTGAACCTTCATAGAAAGACCAAAATGGCTCCTAAACAGAATGAAGTGAGCCATTCAAGACGCTGGGTTTCAAAAGGCTTCAGTCATTATACTCTCCAACTTCTTCTCCTCTGTAGGGTTGAGCACCGTCAAAGTTGGAGTGAAATAATGCAGCTCTATTTTACCTGACTCATGTGCAAGGGCAATTCCTGAGTATGTGTTCTGATGTCCTGAGTCTCCAAATACAGCCATAGCTGTAACCCTGAAAACAGGAATAGACTGATAAGAACACATGATGGCGCATTAAGTGTATCATTTCTTATTTAGTTAGTTTTTTTTACCCATCTGTGCTCATTTTCTTTGTTATAAGAGGCTGTGCATCATCTTTCATCATGTCCCATATGTGAAGGTTAGAAGCTGCATCCAGAACACTGAATATGGCAGGCCTGGTCTGGGCCCACTGTGCTGAGATCACTGGTTCACCAGCAGTGCTGTTCTTCCATTCTGCCACAGGCTGCTCATGGTTGACTGTATGCAGCCTGATGCTGCCATCTGCACAGCCAACCTTCAATAAAATAAAATAAAATCACAGTGAGGTACCAAAACAGAATGAGGTGAATCAAACCTCGTTTCCAGTCAACCTCTTTGCAGCATTTAAGGAACTTCTAAGTACGGCTGCAAGTAACAGTTATTTTGCAAATTGATTTACTGTTGATTATTTTTCGATTAATTGATTATAATCGGATCACAAAAGGTTCCTGAAAGAAGACTTTTTGCACAATTAAACGAGGTGAAACTAAAACTTTTCGCTATTTCTCGTAATACACAAATCTAGGGAGAGTTTTTTTTTTTTACGTAAAGTAAGATGATTATGACCATGGGGTTGGTAGGAGGCTGTATGTTCAGGCTCCGCGGGATCTTTCTTACTGTTGATTCGAATGAGGGACTAAATGTGTGTCAAATGATTTTAATACTCCAATGGATGCAGAAGGAAATGATTGATTAAAGTTTATTACCATCAGCTAATAAAAGTGAAGAATTAAGTAAAAAGGGTTTCAGTTGTTTTAATTTAAACGCCAACTGAAGGATACCAATGAATTTTGGATTTAGTCTAATCCTAATAACAGCCATTCAATCATTTTTACTTTTTTTTTTTTTTTTAAGAGATCATGCTAGAGTTACCAAAGATAAATATGTTGGGGTTTTTTTGTTTTAAAATCAATCAGCAGTACCAGTGTGTGTGTGTAGAGGGCAGTATTTCCTAAATGGACAGAGTTTAAAAAAGGAAACCTCCCTACCAGGAACAGGTTTGGTCTGAAAGGAGAAAAGTGGATTGAGTTGATGTCAACAGTTCTTTCCTCCACCTCCTGAAACCCGTAAAACTGCGGAGGAGTCTTCAAACCATGACTTGTTCCATGGCTGACGAGACCCTGGAAGGAAGGAAAGACTATTCAGGATCTTTCACAATCTATACTTGAAGATCACTGATCAATATTCAGATACATTTTGCTCACCAGATTAGTGCCAATAAAGAACTGATTGGAGTCTGTTGGATGGTATTTTAATAGCATGGTCTGAAACGGTCTTGCTGTTCCTGCCACTTTTAGTAACGGCCTTAGGGATAGAGAGAGATAAGATAAGATCTCACAAAATGTCCAGTCACATCATGTTCCACCCCGGCTTTACAGTCCATGACCTCAGAACATTCCCATCGGATATCGAGGTGACAAAAACATGAAGAGAGTAACAAACATGATCATGTGACCACTGCAGAACAGCTGCGTCCCACTTGGCCAAGCCACTGGGAGGTATTTTTAAGCCTAGCAGCCGACCCACAGTAACAGGTGATCAACATGAACTATTTATCAATCTAACCTCTGAACAGTGAGGAGGGAGGAGCTGTGAAGCAGCTTCACTTTGCCCCCAGGACGGAGACCTGGAAAGTTGAAACATGAGATGGAGTTAGAGGCCAAAAGCACATACGGAAGAAAAATGAATGTATATAAATCAAGACCCCATTACCTAGATCTGTTAGAGAGCCCGCCTCATTGCCTTTAGGCAGCTCCACCACCACCTGAAGGATGCAAAGAGGAAAACGCATTAAAGTTGGTCAATATCTAGAGAGGGAAATGAGTACCCTTCTGAATCCTAATGATGTCAAACACTGCAACACGTACCATCATTCTGAAGCAGTGCACCTACATGTTAAAAGCTTTACCTTGCAAAACTAAACCCTTTGACTGTTTCTGAAACAAACTCACCGATTTTTCACCTTATCCATTAAGGTAACAAAAACTTTGCATACACACAGAACTAAGGAGTTAAACCACCTAAAATCTTCTAAAACTATTAGGTCTGATACCAGTAAATAAAATCAATACAACCAACTACTCATCTACACAAAACATATTTAGAACAGCGGGTAGGAAATGGAATTATAGTTTGATTTAACTTAGATATACATCCCTTTAGCCACCCAGGTAGTTGAATTAAATTAATCATAAAACAAAAACAATCCAAGCCAGGAAAATATTTTTAAATTCACATGTTCCTACTTCCATGGCTTTAAACAAGTGACAGTTCCAGTATGTCTGACTGCTCCAGTTAGAAAAT